ACCAGCAGTTCAGGACTCTTTGCTCTGTTTGAGCGGACTTAACCCAACCAACTCCTCACCCTGCTGTCTGTGGAATTTTCCTCTCAGTATACGGCATCATTTGTATTATTGTCACCGCGTGCTCTTATTGAGGTCTATGCTCTCTTCGTCTCCTCAACCCTTTTCTGTACAACTCTTAATGTCGGTTTATATATATATTCTGTTCATACTTTGCTACATAAGGATATCATTGTCGCGCCAACATTTTTGTAAATTTCTACTTTGTGTTGTTTTACCGTTACACTGTTTAATGTATCTATCTTGTACTTTGTTTATTTCTAAATAAATGCGATCAGGCGCCATGAGCTCCCACCTTTTCCTGCCCCAATATCATCCCCTACACTTCGCAACTCTTCTACCTTCCGTTCTTTCCTACCTTCTTGGTTATACCTACGAGTGATACCAGAAGGCCCCCCCTCTTTCAATTTTTAACCTGTCTGTGCAACGTACCCATACTGTTTGTATTTATCCCGATGAACAATGCAAATGAATGTTAATGCATGCGCATATAAAAATCCTAAAATTGTTTGCCCATATTCATAGTTGCCCGCAGACTATATTTTACCAAAAAAGTAGTAGCAAAAGCAAAAGTGNGCGGACTTAACCCAACCAACTCCTCACCCTGCTGTCTGTGGAATTTTCCTCTCAGTATACGGCATCATTTGTATTATTGTCACCGCGTGCTCTTATTGAGGTCTATGCTCTCTTCGTCTCCTCAACCCTTTTCTGTACAACTCTTAATGTCGGTTTATATATATATTCTGTTCATACTTTGCTACATAAGGATATCATTGTCGCGCCAACAATTTTGTAAATTTCTACTTTGTGTTGTTTTACCGTTACACTGTTTAATGTATCTATCTTGTACTTTGTTTATTTCTAAATAAATGCGATGCAGGCGCCATGAGCTCCCACCTTTTCCTGCCCCAATATCATCCCCTACACTTCGCAACTCTTCTACCTTCCGTTCTTTCCTACCTTCTTGGTTATACCTACGAGTGATACCAGAAGGCCCCCTCTTTCAATTTTTTTTAACCTGTCTATGTCATAGCAGTTTAAATAAATATTGTTTTGAATATCGTCTTATGAAAGAAATTAAATAAATATAGCCTTGTGAAATAATATTGTTTTTTCACTGTTATTGCATCCATAGTAGTACTATGCTATAGATTTTACACAAGAGTGAGCTGGGTTGTGAAAATATAAAACATGATACTGAAACGTGTGCGATATCTCCATAACCTAAAATTAAGAGGCCGGATGGCCGAGCGGTCAAGATAGCAACCTGCCGCTCTGGGGGACCCGGGACCGAATCCCTGACTGGTCAAGGAATCCCCAGGAATTTTTCGGAAAATGGTCCGTTCGGATATGTCGGGCCTGTCCCTCACCACCCGGTCGCCCCATTGTGAGCCTGGTCGAACCCATAATGGGCTTGCTATAAGAGGCCCTCCTAGTGCCCAAAGGGCGAAAAGAGTAAAAAAAAAAAAACCTAAAATTAAGAGATTCCATCGACGGTGGGGAGGGAAAAAAACGTCAACAGCTTGCGATACGTCTGAATTAACAAGGGTCAAGTTAATTCTCCATTTACTGTCGTTATCGTTTCTCATCCATAGTGTTACTATACTAATAATGTGTAATTACTATATTAATAATGTGAAAAATGTATGTTATCAGTTTAGTCTCTACAGGGGGCGCCACAATGAGATCCCGCACCACCTGAAAACCTGGCTAGGGCCGCCACTGCATTTGACCACAGGGAATTCACGAGTGAAAGATTTTTTCTAGAGAAGTAATAATTCCTGGAAAAAACTAATTCTCTGAAATTATTAAAATATTTAAATTCAAGATCCCTTTCGTGTATTTCATTAAATTCAGGAGCTCCCTACTTACAAACCTTCAACTTACGAACGTTTAGATTTACGAACAATTTGATCGCACGTCTAAAATTTAAATTTTACGTCGATTGTGAGGTTCTTATGCCGCTCGCGGAGTTGCATTGAACTCAGTTTTTTGCCAAGTAATAAATTTTTAATAAATAATTATTGTGGGCTTATGTCAATCGCGTATAGTCATTTCTCGTTTTCGCGCGAATTTCGAGGTTTCACTGTCGCTCATGAGATTGCGTCGAAGTCGGTATCGTTGGAGTAATCTCGGTTTTCGCTGTTTGGACCTTTTATAAACTTTTAGGCTGTGTAAACATTAGGCGTTTTTAATCGCACGTTTTGTTAACGCGCGTTTTAAAGAATCAAGAGTTCTGCATAGGTATACATACTCAAACGCGCGCTTCTGGCCAAGCGCGCATCAAAGGCGCGTTGATAGATTTTTGTTAGAACGCGCGTTTCGCGGGCGTCAGCCGCGCGCTTTAAGATATATGTGCTGCCATGTTGTTGTACATTCGATCGCGCGCTTTCGGGTAGAGTGGACGTACGTTGGCCGAAACGGAGAACGATCATTTCGATACTGATCTATTTATTGATGAAATCTGAAAGAGATCAGCCATCGTCAAATGATTTTATAGATATTCTGAAAAAATTAAAAAATTTGAGTTCATGTTGTCTTAGTTTTGGATACAACGTCACAAACATTCCATGCATAAGTCTATCTCGTAATATTGGGTGCACCCAAAATTCTCTTTGCCTTTGCCATCGTCTTTTATAGCGACGATGAAGGAGGCACACACAAGCAATTACTTTCACGTCCATTTCCAAACTGAACCAGTGCTCACGCTCCACTAAACGGTCGTCAAACGCCGAGCTAACGGGCAGTGTGTACGCTGCTGACGCGCGTTTAACGCAACGCAAAACACCTAATGTGTACACAGCCTTATGATTAGTTCTTCAATAATGCGTCCGAAACGTTAATACCAAAGTTAGCGGTGTAGATAAATGCAAGAAGTGTCGCTCTGTTACCATAGGAACTAAACTGGCCATTATAAAACAAGTGCATTAGGTGAAACATCGAGTTTGAAACACTGCTACTAAGCAGTAGCGAGTGGGTAAAGGAGTATAGTGCATTATATTAAGTATAGTGAAAGATCGAACACTAATAATAAGTACTTTCTAGGTTAGTTTTCGACTTATGAACATTTCGATTTACCTGGAACGTAACCTGCTCGTAAGTAGGGGAAAGCACCTGTATTTTGATCCATCTGTCAGCCATGTTAATTCTGCATTCCATTTTTCTAAGTGTCTAAACTATAATCGTCTTTATTAGCGTCAGTGTCGTACCGTAGTGGGGGCGGCAGGGGCGGCCCGCCCCGGGCGGCACTTTTCAGGGGCGGCAAAATTTCACAATAAATAATAATAATATCTTGTAAAAATTTGAAATATCCTAATCTATACTTGCATCGCTTCTACGATAGTGCTATCGTCCTTACAGTCTGGGAATCGGCTCGCCGGGTGAACTAATAACTTTTTCGTCCGAGGAATTCCTGCGAAACCTGTTGACCTTTTTTGTTTTGCTTGTACGATTCATTCGCGTTCATATACACCACTAATATCCAATAGAACTATTTTAAACAGGTCGCTGCACTACCACCGAATTTTTCATTGCTTGTTCTGTGACAAAACTGAATTTTGGTCTTTTAAATTGAAATACCTAAATAAGGGGGGGCGAAATTTTCCTCCGCCCCCGGGCGGCTGAACCCACGGTACGCCACTGATTAGCGTCCATTGATCGTATAATCGAACTTCATCTGTTTCTATTTGTTTAACAGGTTTCTTAAATATGCCGAAACTATTCTGTATTTCTTATCATCCAGCTTTGTTTTTTTCAAAAAGAATTTATTTAGAAACTTGCTTTAATTTTCCTGATGTGCTACAAGTTGGGAAACAAAGGAAAAACACATGATGAGGGGAAAGCTCAATACTATTCAATTTTGACAATTATAAACGCAGAATAAAAATTTTCTAACAAACCATGAATTCGATATAGGATAAAAAAAATGTGCTTAACATAAATTAGAGAGAACTAGGTTTTTGATTTTCAAAAAACGAAATAAAAATGAAAGTTTTACTAAAACAGAGTGAGTACAGAGTACTGTCCTGCTTAAAACTGTTCGTATGGTTAGTCTTTTCATAATTGAAGTTTGATTGCAAATGATGCAAACTATTGAAATCATATTAAAAGTGAAAGTTAGAAAACATTCGACAACACAAAACAGGACATTTTATAAATAGACAGGGCACAACGAATGAAATCCAATCAAACGGCAGAAAATGGGCGATAGACTGTTTTCGCCGGCGTAGTGAAAACGTACTCTTTGTTTGTAGGAACTAGGAGATATATTAAGACTAACACCTAGCAGGTGATATCGGTGCCAATAACAATAATTTCCGAGAGGGCAGATAATCTACTCGTTTTCTCCCTACCAAATTTTGTATGAATTTCGACCGTAACAAAAAAGTTTGGAGGTTAATTATGGTGTGTGGTCCATTTAGTCATGAAAGTGGTGCGTGTTGTCTATTGTTGTTGTTGGACAGATCCGAAGAATTATCATATTTCTTTTCCCGATTATTGGTTTGCTCGTTAGCTCGACGTTTTCTAAATATTCTTAATTAAAATACGGAAACGTTCTCGGAAAATCGGCATTGGACGAATTCGATCACATTCTCCAATTAAAATTTTCAGAAATTTCTCGGATTTCGACGACTGTGCGTCTTATTTTCCCCTCGGAAACGACTGAATATTACCCAATAGTGATAACAATTTAGCGTTTATCTATCGACCTAAGTTCCTTAATTGATAACAAAACGCGATTATTTAGACGGCGATCGCCTTTTCTTCATTTCTACGAAATTACATCAATTATTTAAGAAAAGAAATAAAAAAAAAAAACGCTCCTTCGCAAGCTCTATTCCACCTTCACGTTTGTACTGTATGTACTGTACTTGGTCATAAAAAACAATAACAATAATAAAATATTCGCTAACGAAATGGCAGAGGTCGCTGTTCGGAGAGAGTCACCCTAGTGGCGCTTTGGTCGGCGCGATAAGTGAGGCAAATCGAAAATCGATAAGGAAGATCAATGTCGAATACCGTCGGTCATGATTACGTTAAACTTTGCTCCGGTTTATATAAATCGCGGCCGACGGTAATTGTTGGATGCTCTACGAGTGGCGATCGAAGGAGCGTTTAAAATGACCAAGCAGAAAATCGTCGAATGTGTACCCAATTTTTCGGAAGGACAGAATCGGGAGGTGAGTGTCAACGCTTTGAAATTATTAATCACCGCCTCCCCGAGGTAGGATCGGTCGATCGACGGCTGACTACGGAAAGGATGGACGAATTTACGAAGAATAAGAGAGGCGCTGCGTTAAGGATCGGTATGTAGACGGGCGTGTTATCATTTCCGCCTCCTTTTATACGAGATAAGTCTGCGGTCGATCGTCGTTGACTCCTACTAAGAGAGAACGTGAGTACCGGCAACATATTAGGCCGAATTCGGTCTTCCTATTCCCGCTGCTACGTTCTCAAAGCCAAGAAAATTACTCTACCACATAGTTATTAATCGTTTCGTTTAAACTAATAATTTTCTTGGAAAAATTCTGGTGGTACCTTTCCCGCCGTCTTCAGATATTCGCATTACACGACAGAAATGACATTAGTGTCAACCGGGTGTCCGAGAGCATCTCTTGACTTTTCTGGAATCTCAGAGAGTCGGGAGAGGGATCCGAATTGGAGACTGGAAGATTTATGTAGATTATACTTTTCTTCGCAGCCGAGTGCATAGGTATACATCTTTAACATCACACTTTATTTGGGATGTTAAAGATGCCGGGTGTCTTCTATGCACCCAATTGTTGAAGTAAAGAATAATTAAAAGAAGACAAAAACATGGTTTTGGAATAAGTCGATTTGTGTACATGTCGTCAGATGAAAATTGGGGATTAATGTCGTGCATCCATGTTCGTGACTTAAGTCCTTTTATGTTTGCGATTTTATTACTTAGACTCTGTGAATGTGTGTCTTATTTTGTTGACATCAAATCTGCCAGGTTGAAAATGCATACAATATTATACGTTGGTATTTCCTATCTTTTTGGATTGGCGGCAAGCTTTGAATTTAATGAGATTCCTGTGATGTGTCATAATTTTTAAAATAAAAATGATAAAATTTAAAATATATTAAGGTTGATTTTAAAAAGTTTTAATAATGTGGAAGTTAAACTTACCAAGAAAATCACAATTTTATAAATATACAATAAAAATAAAAAGACTATTTGAATTAATGTATAAAGAGCTTGTTTTGATCTTTAAGCCAGTAAGCCTTGATGTATATACAAACCCAAAAGAATCAGTACACCGGCATAGATGCATGTGACTTTTATGAGGGAGATGTGCTGATGCCACAATGGTTGGCATTTTATTGAATATCTCCTCCTCCCTTTGGTCAACTGGCACTAAAAGATGAAAGATAAATGAAATTTTAAAAAAGAGCTTATTCGAAATTCTAAAAAATATTTAATATTTTTACAACACACCTGAGGCACTCTCACGACATGCAAGTGCATTGTGGCACACGGGTCAGGAAACACTGTTATAGATCAATAATTCCCAGACTTTTCTTCCTAATGAGGTTTGAAAATTAACAAATTTTTACAATCCTAACATTGAATCTACATAAAATAATTTATTTTTATTTCTAACCTTTTCCTTCAAAAAATAATTAACACAAAACTAATAAAAGACAAATTAAATTTAAAAAATTACTTTATTCAGTCATTTTTTGTAGTGTTGTATTTTATCACAAAACGAGATTCAATGTTGAGATAGTTGGCCAGATTCTTTTCAAAAAGTTTAATATAGTAGGTGTTTTGATGTATATTGGATGATTTCTTTCAAACTCGAGTTTGCTAAAGGTTTACTACAAATTATACAAAATGTTCAATGCTCATCACTTATTTTCTGATATGAAAAGCCATATTTTAGAAATTCTTTGACTATTTACTTTTTCTTACAGTTATTGCCTTTTTGGATAATTTAGTTATTTTTTTGAACCGATTCCTACTTGTATTATTGACAATGTATTTTTTGGCATTATTTTCTGTTTGGTACAAGTTTCTAACTCTTCTGAGTTTTTCTTAATAATCTATTGGTTTATATAATGTTAGTAGTTTCTGTGATAAGAAAAATACATATTTTCTATTTGAATTCATTTACTATATTTAAAAGTTTTCATTATTACATAATGTAGAACTGAAGTAAATCTACTGTTGTCTGTATATCAGTTGAATATATGCTTTTTCATTTATTGTACATTTCTAAAATATTCTGTTTTTAAGATTGAATGTCACTCCAAAGAACTGGATATACAAAATATTTTGTAAAAACAATAAAACAAGATTACACAAAAACAGAAAAGTCACAAAAGCTAAAAGATTTGCAGGTTTTGATTTAATCATTACCACTCTGATGTATATAATATGACTTAGGCTACTAATCATACAGTAATAGCAAAAATAATTGTTGAATAATTGCGTTCAGTTTTGTATTTTTATAAATGTCATCTAGCCTCATTAATAATTATCCTCATTTAAATGAATATAAAACATGTGCTAATCTTTTTTATTGATTGAAACTAATCTTTTGCAATTGAGAATATTGCCTATATTCTATCTTTGACAAGAATAAATTACCTATTATTATCTACAGAGTATATATAAATTGTTCATAATTACTAAAGAAAACATAGCAACTGCAACTTTCCTGATTATCTACACTAGTTTTTTTGATAAAAAATGCAAGACAGTTATTACTTGCGTAATCAATGTTATTGATGTGAGTTAGTGCTGATATTGCAATTTTATTCAAAATTTATTACATTCCATTTGTACTTTTTATTAGGAATCTTGTTTATGTTTAAAATGTTTATAAAAGACTATTCCTGTTTTAAAATGTTTATGAAAAGAAGTCTACACAAGTCAAGATGTAACTACAAAAAATGCTATTACAGTAGAACCCCTCTAATCTGTCACCTTTGGGACTGGGGTATGGTCGGAACACAAAAAAGGTCAGATTATCAGAAAAAAGTAAAATAAACAATCTTCCCCTTTGTCCAGTCTTTGTAGTACTGCTAATTTTTGATTTAATGAAAGAGTAACGTGTTTACGTTTCACTCCTGACACAAAACTATACATGTACACACAATATAAAATATATACTGTAACGAACACAGAAGAACGCCACGGACGGTGAGTCACAGACGAGTCAGGACGAGTTTCTCGACTCCGACCACGGTCAGATTAACCGGAGTGACGGACTAGCCAAGGGCTGACTAGAGGGGTTCTACTGTATTTTGCATGTGTGTATTTGTATTTAAGAATTTCTTGACTGTAGACATGTTTAATATGGCTCCTTTCAGTAATGTATTGTTTTTAAGATCTAATGTTTCTAGACTTTTAGTGTATGTATGTATGTATGTAGTAGGTATATATGTAATGTCTGTGCAAGAGAACTACATGCAAACAATAGACAATGAATTTTGTGAGTTATTAATGTTTGCTAATTTTTTGATGTATACATTTTGTATGTTATGGGTATTGAAATGGATATGTCTATGATGCATGTGATTTTGTTTGTTTATTAATGAATATAATGTCTGGTCTGTTGTAATATATTGTTTTGTTATGATTGTGGCTTGATTATAGTATGTTCTGCACATGTTTTTTAAAACTGTATGGTGTGTACCACATATTTGTAGTATGGTATTTGGGTCTGTAGTAATTGTGTTTGTCTTGGCAACTGCATCTGAAGTTACTTGATTATGGTAACTGCAGCTGAAAATACCCTGAAAATTCATTACATTGCAGGTACTGTACATCAACAAACTAGCAATCATTGACATTGACTATCCAACCAACAGTTTACATCCCATGGGATTTTAACTGTTGGTCAGATAGTTGATGATTACAAGGATGCTGGGAATTCTTGACTTACCACTGCATGAGAAATAAAGACATCCATTACTGGACAGAAGACTAGTAGTTTGCCTGTTACAACAACTGAAACAAAATCAAACAGGACAGTACAGTAGACTCCCCTATAACACTGTAGATAATTCCATGTTATATGAATTCCATGTTGTACGAGTCACTTAGATTTTACAAATATGTGAGCCATTCACAGCCTGGCACACATATTTGTAAAATCCAAGTGACTCATACAACATGGAATTCATATAACATGGAATTATCTACAGTGTTATGGGGGGGTCTACTGTATTTACATCTTTCTGGAAGGCACCACTAGAATGCTAGTTTACTAATGACAAGAACTGAATTATTGACTAGCCATCCTTCTGTAATGCTGTTAGTGAAATATTCAGAGACAACTGTGAAACCACTAGAGATGCCAAACTATGACTTGAGAGCCAAACTCAATTGTTGGGGAAAGAGAGAAAAATCTACATTCAAAAGGATCTGGCCTTCATCAGATTTTCTTTTTTTCATCTTTTATCAAAGCTGGAAAAAGGAAATCTGATGAAGGACAGATCTTTAGAGAGACAGATTAGAGATCTTCATTAGATTTCATCTTTGACAAAAGAGGGAGTGTCTTAGTGATGTTGATCCAAAATATTATCTGGGAAGAACTTCAGAACAATGCCACAAGTGTTCTTTGACATCCAGAGTTGGCTACACCATTTCTCAGTGACAAGAACCAATAATGTTAATATACTTTCTGACTGAGACCTACTACTGACAAAAAAATATACTATATACTACTGACAAAAAAACTAGTTTTCAGTTTCATATCAAATTATATAGCAGTGTGAAAGTATCTTTTACACTACTTCATGCAGAGTAATTTGTTTGCTCTATGCCAATACATTTTTGAAGTGAAGCTTTTTCTATGAGGCAGAATTGTGTTTGTTCCCAAAATCTATTTGCTAGATTTTGATTAATTTTGCCATTAATTGCTATCTTTTACGATATTTCATAAAAAAAACTGTTTATATTTTTTAATTATTATAAAATGGCAAAAAGCTTAATTTTGAAATTAGAGATGGATTTTATAAACAGTTGTAAATGCTAATAAGGAGTAAAATTGTCATTAAGTCCAACCCTAATCAAGATATGACACATGACCACCTTTTATCTCCCCTCCCCATTGACCTTTAACCACCAAAATTTAATAGCATGAATCTTTCCAATACACAAACCTTTCTGCAAAATTTCAGAAATTTTTGAAAGCAAGGAGTTATTAAGATTCAAACAGAGTAAACAAAATCGTGCCCACACAAATACATTCACATTAGCATCCATACATACATAAAAAAAAACTCTGAATGTTTTTGTATTTCTTGACATTTCAAGATCCTCTAAGTCCAAAAATAGTGAGGTTGTGGCCGAAGTTTTCATCTCTAAAACGTGAACTCAATGTTTGACATTCACGTTTTAGGGATGAAAACTTTGGCCGCAACCTTGCTAACATAAAAATCTTGGGGTTGGCGTCATTTTTGACCAATTGCCATACTTTCCCTCTGTTATCTATAACAGAGCCAGAAAAGTAAAAATAGGAATCCATGACTTCATTTTCGATATACAAAGGTATTATAATGACAATTTCCATGCTTTCTGATGTGACAATGCACCTAAAGAAATTTAAGCCTAGAGATCAAAAATAAAAACAGTTTTATGTGTGCCTAATGGGAAGTAGGTGGAAAAACGAACAAAGCAATTTCCATTGTTTGCTTTGTTCTTGGATTGTCTCTCCATACCTGGCCAGTGCAAGGATCGTGTCTCCCGTGGCCTGCAGATATGAGGATACTCTCTTTTGTGACAGCAAGGGCAAAGTTTACCTGTCTACATCCATCAGGTACTTACATGAATCACCTCTTCTGTGCCTAACAGGTACAGGGATTGCTTCTTTCCTTCTGGCTCTGCTTTGATTCTATTGCAATATGACAAATTGTGCGATGTCTTAGTAATGTATTCAATCTGAGAGTCTCTGATTAATCATTTTCCAAAAATATATTTAATTAGAACACCACTTTTAATTTTATTAGCAACTTTATGATTTCTTAATGTGTCTTAATTTTAACTTTTAATTCTTAATTTCTTAATGTTATTGATGGAGTCAGTAGTATCAAAGAATTATTTCTATTTTATTATAATCTTGTAATTATTAAGTAAATTATTGAAAATCAGTATTTTGTAGATGTTCAAATGAAATGTTCTTTGAATTCAGATTATTCAATAAAATTTTGATATTCTAATGTTTTAATTTCTGTAATAATCAAAAGCTAAATGTAATGTGTCCTCCTTTAGTTCTCTATATTTCACTGGTGTTTTTATTAATCATGAAATTGTGTAGTAGTAATTTTTTTAATAATAGTTAACTTGAATATATTTTATAATAATTACCAAATGAGCATTATACAAATATTTAGTGTTATCATATATTAAATATTTTTCTTGTTTAGAAAAAGTCTATGTAAAAATTATTCACATACAAGGTAGTGACAAACATTTTTTGTCACTACCTTGTGTGTGACAATAGTAAAAATATTTTTGAAATTAGTTTCAGATTTACTTATTTTTAACAAAAGTTTTATTTTGCAATTAACCAGCTGTTACCTGTCAGTATGCAAATTAATCCGTCATTTCAACTTTTTCAATTATGTGCACTGTTGAAGACAGTGATGTTTTTGTTACCTATTTGTATTTTGTTTTTGAAACATGATGATGCTGTTTGTATTCTGTAAGAATACGAACTAAATGCAACATTTGAATATTCATCAATATGACTAAATGATTTAGTTGAGTGGAAAATACCAAAACCCAATTAAATGGAGAAAAAACAAGATCACTAACGTCTTTTATCTTATATACTCAATATGACCACCTTTTTCAACAATGCACATCTATATTTTTGAAACTAGAGAACCCTGCACAGTTAATAATATGCTATATACTGCACAACATATAGCCAGTGACATTCATTTTAGATATGTAAATTCAAAGAAATGTACACCTCAGTAGATTTTGGTATCTTCATTTAGCTGTATAATTTAGTCTTATTTATGGCTGTGTTAATGTCATATTCAATTACTTGCATATTGCATAAGTTAGATAGTCAACAGATGTTCTAATTAAAAGAGCATTTTTATAGCCCTGTATAGATTTTGTTTGGTGTTTCAGATTGGAAAAAAAACTGAAATTACATGTTCTGTCATTGGGCTGCAATTTGAAAAAATTATAGACCTATAAAATCCCACTGTCATCTGTTTGTCTGTCCTTTCTTAATCTTGAGAATGGAATTAGTTAGATGAAATTTGAGACAAGATGTGGAAAGCTTAGGAGCAGGAGGCCTTGATTAACTATATATGATACAAATATTTTCCCCTGAAAGGAGATAGATGATCAGCACAACTATTGTTACCAGGAAGGTATGATGTACAAGGACAAAACACTACTAATTTGAGATGAATTTGAGATGGAGAGCATATACTGTATTTTGAATTAAATAAATTAAAAATATAGTTAAAAATTGCAGCTTGGCATTGTAACATTGTCACAATAAATAATTGCTCATTCTTTATAACTGTAATTGACACTGATGGCCTGCCTGTTTCTATTAAGGAAGGAGATTGCTTCTATCACCTCAATCTAAAAAGAACAACAAATGATAATGCCATTGTTTAGCATTTGTACACATTGATTCAATAGTTACACTATTCAGTTTTGAAATAATCAGCTAGAGAAAATTTTATCACCAACCTGTATTATTGTGTAGAACAGTGGTTCTTAACCTTTTGATACTTGTGGCCCATCAAATATTTCATAATTTTTTTGTGACTCCCATTTTTTTAAATAATAATTTATATTTGTTAAATTATCTATAATAAATTGATTTTTTTATTATTGCTTTATTTTTAAAATTCCAAGCATTAATAGTTTCTTAGAATTACTTTGGAATAAAAGAAGTAAATACTGTGGTGTAAGTAGCATATTTGCATTTATTTCTTCTGTACTAACAAAGTTGTATGTAGGAAGAAATAAGGAATAAATAAAAAAAACTAAATATGAAAACTTTATCTTTCTTATTTCACTTTTCAATACGATATTCGGTTATACATCAATTTTTTTTATTATTATATTCTGAAGGAAATTTTGCATAATTTGGCGGCCCCGGCAAACTTCTTACAGATCCCCAGGGGCCGCAGCTTCCGTTAAGAAACACTGGTGTAGAATATAAAATGAATGAAATGTAATATTTAGTGTTTAATGAATATTCTTAATTTGTTGTAAGTTTTAATTGTAAATGTTAAGACAACTATTTTAAATTTTATATATAGGTGATTGATAAGATATCTGCAGCCATTTCATCTGTGGATGGTATATCATTACTGGATGTTGATCCTGGTCCCTCAACTAATCGCACTGTCTATACATTTGTTGGGTCACCAGATGCTGTAATTGAAGGAGCATTAAATGCTGCAAGGACAGCATTTAAATTAATTGATATGGCAAAACACAAAGGTATGAATACACAAGAAAATATTAAAATCTGTACATACAATTATATTAAGAGTTTTTTTTCTTGTATAGGTGAGCATCCACGATTAGGTGCACTGGATGTTTGTCCTTTTATTCCAGTTCAAGGTGTAGAGATGGAAGAATGCATCTATTGTGCTCGTAAATTTGCTGAAAAACTTGCAGCAGAATTGAAAGTACCAGGTAACAATGATTAATTTCTTGCAATTTTAAGTTAAATGTATACTTTTCTTAAATTGTTCTGTAAGTCCTATTTGAGTAAAATTAATATTTAAGTGCTAACTACTAAAATACTTTTATATCATACACTATTAAAATTAGAAGACCAATTTTAAAAATAATAATCAGTTTAGACTGTTATACAGTGTATATTTGATTGCATGTTAATAGGCAAGAACTATAATTGTTGTTTTGCAAATAAAGCTAGTTTTATTATGAATTGTTTAGAGGGCACTCTTGTATAAACATATATAAACATCCCAAGAAACAATATATTAAAATAATCATCCAACCATTAGCCAAGTTAATCAGGTAGGAATTAGAAATTATACTACAAATATTAATTAGAAATTACATGATTAGAACAATTAGAGATAAACATTAGGTGCCATCTCTTAACAAAAGTAGTAACTATAATTTAATTTTTAAATTTAGAATAATCTGGAAGAAAAGAATCTGCTCATGGCAAGAGTCAAACTTGCAAGCTCTGCTTACTGTGCGCAGCACTAACCAGTTACACCACCCAGACATCCGAACAATTCTTTTCTACCAGATTATTCTAAATTTAAAAATTAAATTTTCGTTACTATGCACGTTAAAAGATGGCACCTAACATCTACCTTAGTTGTTGGCAAGGCATTAATTCTTGACCAACACCAGTGTTCAGTGGTGTTATCCACTGAAGCCACTGTTGGGTCAATTTATTGCAGGAGTCAGTGACAAAATGCCTCCCAGGCAGGAATAATCAATTAATATGATATCCTGAACACATTGCAGCTGGTGGGAATAAAAGGCATTCTTGGATGGACTAACCCAGTGTCTTTCAACCTGTGGGTCACGACTCCCAGAGGGGTCGCAAAGCCTTACATGGGGGTCCTGGGTAAAAAAAAAAAAAAAGACAAGTGTTTGTAAGTCCTACACTACAATAAAACAACCTACAATTTTGTTGAGAAGGCTGGGCCTGTTTATTTTACAGTACAATTGGTTTTTCGATCGATATTTAGGTCTCAACAGAAAGAAAATTAAATACATAGTTTTTAACGTCACTGATATAGTTTTAATATGGCTCTGGGGGGATCGCCAAAATTTTTTAACTTGTAAAGGGGTTGCATATTCAAGAAGGTTGAAAAACACTGGACTAACCAATACGATTTTATGGCCTACATTATGCAATGAGTCACTTGCCTGGAATTCACATGACACACTACAAAATATCATGTAGAATGTTATTCCACATCTTTTCCATCCATCTCTATTCCATCTATATCCACCTCATGGCCATTCTCCATCTACATTAGTCATGACTAATCACATAATTTTGCAATCACATAGAAACACATTACTGTGATTTCCTAATATCAGTGATTATAGCATGTAATGCGATCACATTTTAATGACAGGAATGTAAATATTTTATTGCCAGTTTCCAAGCTTTAAAATTTCTGTTAATTGATGGTGTGTTGCAAGAAAAATTGAATACTATTTTATAGCATTTATTACAGATACTATGAGTGCATAACATAAACTTGATTAGGAAAAGTCACAAATAAAATTTTAAATCATATTCAATAAACATCAGAAATGAACTATATATCCTAAAACAAAAAAATAAAGTAACTTTTAGTGATTTTGAGATTAAATATATTTCATAAGTTCTATACAATAATAATAAAAGGAAATTATGTATCTCAAAATGCAAGGGTTAATTAAATAAAATACTAGTCATTCCAACAATTTTTGATTAACATTTATGAATAACAGCATTTTTGCTTTCTTATCAAAAAGATGACTATGCCCATCATTTGATCATGCTTGTTACAGGTAAAGTAAGAAGATAGGTCACTGTTAATTATGTGCTCATGTTTTCTAAACTAACACAATCATATGTTGTGACAGTAATTTTTTGTTATTTATGGTGGTGTTACAGGTAGTGAAATTGTGCTCATTGTTATTCTGCATGGCCTGGGTTAAGTGTCCTCATCTTACACAATAGAAAGGTTAAAGGGCTGCACTCAATGGTATAGCCCAACCTCATCTTACACAGACAACAGTACACAGTTGCAAGCAGAAACATATCTCTACTAACAGAAACAACAGCATAAAAGCTGTTGTTTCTGTTAGTGGAGATATGTTTCAACTATAAGGCCTCCCACTCATTCCTATTTACTTTTTTATACATGAATATGATATCTGCTAGATCTGTATAGAAATAATGGGCTGTACTTGCAGCACTATTCCATACATGTGCACCATGGACCTGTTCATCTGACAAACTACACACTGCATACTCCCACTTTCACTGCTGTAATTACTGATAAGGGGACCTGATACATTGATGCCCAGTGATGTCATCTATCTTGGCACTGGTGCATTTCTGGACATGGGATGAAAGGATCATATTTCTTCTTGGACTTGCCAAGAATCCAATCTAAAAGTTTCTCCATGGTTTTGAACCATTCTGTTTATATTTTTAAGAATAAAATATTATAATATTTTTAACAATAGTTTTAAATACATTGAAGAAAATTATGAAATTTCACAAATTTGACATCTTATATGCCAGCATGTACTGTACATTGAGTGACTGAAATAATAATAATAATAAATATAAAAATGCTAGTGTATAAAATGAATATTCACTAAAAGAAAATTTTCAAGATCTTTACAGGAAAAACATGATTTGGTTGTGAGTTGGATATAAACCCAATTCATTTGATAAGCATGCTTTAACTAGCAAGCTACTGAAATCATACTATTTTGTAATGGAACTCTAAATTTATCTTTGGAATATTTAATTTGTTTATATCCCTTTCTAGACAAAAATGTATTTTGTTTTCAGTCTGAGCTTTGTTTTTTCTTGAAGTAGACATAATGTTTTGATGCTAAGATTTATGAATTGATCGATGAATAAAATTGTCATTTTTAAAAAACTTAGCTTTGAAAAGAACAGTGTGAGTAGTTTCAAAAAGTAGTAAAAATAATTTATTTTAATCTTATACAGGGTTAACAATACAAGTAGCCAAACTTCAGGAGGTGATAGAAAATCAAAAAACAAATGTAATTAGGAAAAAGTTAGTATCCCAAAACATTTAGTTTTGAAGATAAAGGGGGCTTATTGTTACAGAAATGTTTTTTTTTTTTATTATTATTTCAGAAACAATATGTGATATTTGAAATTTCTTGTGCAGTTTTTGGTACAGGAAACCTACATTGTTAAAGATTTTTTTTACAGTGAATAGGGATTTGGGATATGGTACATTTTGTGAAGAAATATACCATACTCTGACTTCTCCGCCCATGATCAAGGTCTATCTTTGTTTTAACTATTTCTTTCATTAAGCTGTATTATACTATCTTTCATAATAATTGTTCTTTCATGTTTGTTTTGCAAATCTATCTTTTTAACATATTTTGTATTTTACTTCCCATTTAATCTTAATGCTTCAGCATCTTTCTGGTTTATTTCTACTTATTCTGATATCTTATTTTGATGAAAAGATATGAAATATCTATATGGAAGAGTTATTAATAAAAAGGATAGTTTAACATTGTCTAAAGTAAAATTAGGTAGTTAAATGGAAGGAAAAAACTTTACTTTGGTGGATTAAATGAAATATAAATGAATAAAACTAAAAGTATCTTAAAGAAAGTAAGAAGAAATATAGATTTAATGACAGGAAATTATTGCGTTTTTTATTATATTAAACTTATTTTCTTATCAGTCTTCATATTTAGGCTAAATTAGATAAAAATGTTTATCCTAAATCTAAAGTATCTGTTTTCAATAAATATACTATTTTGAATATATGCTAATTTATTCATTATTTTGAACTTTCTGAATTCTCTGATTGCAGTTTATTTATATGGATATGCTGCACAACATGAATATAGAAAAACAGTTCCTCAGATTAGATGTGGTGAATATGAAGGAATTCTTGAAAAAGTATATAACAACTTTCTTTTATTTTAGTTTATTTTGATATTTTGTATATTTAAATAAATTTAATAATTTTTGTAGATTGTTAAACCAGAATGGAAACCTGATTATGGACCAGCTGAGTTTGTTCCTCAGTGGGGTGCTACTATGGCTGGAGCAAGGAAATTCCTCATTGCTTATAATGTAAACCTTTTGGGCACAAAAGAACAAGCACATCGAATAGCATTGAATATTCGTGAACAAGGAAGGAGCAAAGAAGAGGTGAATTATGATGTATTGGATATTGTATGTTTCTGCAAAACTTCAATAAAAAAATAATCTGATATAAAGAAGACATCTGCTTTTATAATCTACAGTAAGATTTTGTTTAGACAGTAACATTTTCACTTCTAGGACACACATTTCATTTTTAATACAAGGGAATTTTGCACCAGAAAAATTTTAATTTCCTGTAAAAAGTTTATATAGCTAATTATTTATATTCTTTATTAGAGACATTATTATTTTTATAGCATACTAATGTTTTGGGTCAGCAACCCATCTTCAGGAATGATTATTTTAAAAATAAATGTTGAGGAAAATAATTTTATTAATGATATTAATTCTTTTCTATTGTTTTGGTTATAAATCAGAAGACACTGCCATGTAGTAAATTTTAGTAGAATATATAGTACTGTGTATTTTAATATAAACTGTGGCATATACTTTGTAGTACTTTGTAGTAGTTTTTTTAAAATATTTATAAATACTTTCTTCAGATATTCTTGGGCATTCTTTGTTTAGGATCATTTGTCTTTCATGTGTTCCCATACAGGAAACATGTTCCAGATGATTGTAACTGTTTCCTTTTGTAATTGGGAGAATCCATCTATTTTTAATTATTTGCTTATATCTTTGTAATCAGATCATTTAATGATGATTTTTTTCTTCAATTGATATGTTTCTGTATGTTAAATGTTTCAGATAAGATACTTCTAAATCAGAAAATGGGCTACAATCCAAAAAATTATGCTCAAAAAGACCGCAGCAGAATGAATTGAAAAATTACATTCATAAAATATAAAAGATATCAAAAAAATTTGAAAATGTAAACAATACATGAAAAAATGACTGGAAAATCATGAAGAGGGAATATTATTGCTGAGAATGAAAAAAATTAAAGGGGATCAAAATATAGGAATGGGAGAGTTGGTAGAAAACTGCTTGTGGCATTAAAATAATTTTTTCTGTTTTGAAGATTTTCTCACTTAAAGTTAAATCTTATAAAATGAGAATCAGAAGAATTTGTCGTAATGAAAAAGTGTAGAATTTGTGTTTTAGGCAAATATGTTTACAACAAATTTCTACTTTTAAATGTTGAAAAGTTGTAAACATATTTGCTAATTATAATAATAATAATTTTTATTGTAAACAGAATAGTGCAGGCTCTCTGTCTTTAGGAAATAGCTCCTGTAGTCTGTCCCAAATTTAGAATGTATCTGATCTACTTTGCATTAATCCATCATCACAGTTAAATAGTAAAGCATTATATACAAGTTATAATTAATTGTCATATTTTTGGAAATTTATTACAGCAGCTGCTTTATAATTAAACATCATTTATTATAATAGCTTTATTACTTCTCATAAGTATTGAAATTACATTTAAAATATATAAATGATTTTACCTTTTATCTTATATAGAAAGTTTGTTAGTTTGTATTACTTTATACATTTCAACACTTGGTTTGAGCAAATACAATTTTTCAGGGACCATCTTTTAATCTAGGAGGTCAATGACTTTTTGGCTGAATTAGCTTCAACCTTCTTCCCTTGCAACAAGCTTCCTATCTTTCTGACCAGTGGCATGATGGCATTTGAATGGGAAAACTATTTAATACAAAGTTTCCAGTGAGCACAAAATATGTTTTTAGGTGTTTTTGAGGGTACCAAGGTTAAATATTTGGTCTATTTTTTGCAAAATTTGATTAGTTGGTTGGTATATACATTTAAGTTAACATTAGAAAAAATTTGGATATCTTAAATTAATTTCTTATGAAGACAGAAGTTGACTGTTTTCTGTTGAAAACCATCAATTCCTGCTACCTGGCCAATGAAATTGTACCATTCCATACATTCAAGTATTGCAGGAAACATGACAATGATAGTCTAAAATAACCAAACTTTTAATATGCTCAAAAAGACCGCAGCAGAATGAATTGAAAAATTACATTCATAAAATATAAAAGATATCAAAAAAATTTGAAAATGTAAACAATACATGAAAAAATGACTGGAAAATCATGAAGAGGGAATATTACTGCTGAGAATGAAAAAAATTAAAGGGGATCAAAATATAGGAATGGGAGAGTTGGTAGAAAACTGCTTGTGGCATTAAAATAATTTTAAAACAATAAATACATTAAACAATAAATACATTTTAATGTATTTATTGTTTGCCTGGGCAGTACCAGAATATGTGATAGTTCAAAATAAAATATTACAATCATGGTGAAGAACTTTCAAAGTACTGAAGTAGTGTCATGTGGCATAAGATATCCATTTACTTCAGAACAATATATACTCAAATCTGATCAAATCAATCTAGAATAGACCAATAAAGATTTTCTCAATCTTTATTGGTCTCTTATAGATAGTCATTATTAATAATAATAGTTCTTAGAAGAATAGATCATTCTTCTAAGAACTACTGTTATTAATGATGAATAAACAAAAAATATTACCTATAACATAATATTTTGTCAGATTTGTTCTCATTCAATTGTTGAATTCCTATTTATAAACTGGTTTGTGTTCTACCCTTCTAATTTTCTCTCTATTTGAAAAAAATTTTTTAAATTAGTCCATAATAAATAAAACTATTTTTTTCATATGTGGACATTGGTGTCAGTTCCATTGTAAATTTCAGACAGACTACAGGAAGATAACTATTTATATTTAAACTTACTTTAAAATATCTCCATATTTAAATTACAATCTTTATAATTGAGTTAAAGAATGCTGAAATTAAAGCTGTTATTTTTATAAAGTGATTTATAAATGTTTTAAATTTTATTTTATATTGAATATATTTATACATTAACTGTGTGTTGAACTTTGCTTACATTTTTATAATTCATTTTACCATTTGAATTTTCACATTAGAATCAGACTGTTTACTTTCATTTTAGGAATTTTTGAAGATGGGTTAATGAATCAAAATATTAAAACTTTTAATATTTTAAAAACAAAAATTTATGCTCCTGATGAAGTATTAATGCTTGAACATTTTGGAATTACTTGAGATAGTTGTTTTCTAAATTATTATTATTATTTAGAATATAAATTATTTGAAATGATAAATTCAGGTTATCCAATTATATTTAAAATAACTGAATCCATTTGAAAGACTTTTCAGATATGAATATCTCAGAATACCTTAAAACAGTGATGCTNCTACAAATATTAATTAGAAATTACATGATTAGAACAACTAGAAATAGACATTAGGTACCATCTCTTGATGAAAATAGTAACTATAATTTAATTTTAAATTTACAAACTATTGCAAGACTATAATTTATAGTATGAAAATTCACCTTCAAAAGAAGTATCTTCTGAAGCTACATACTTCTGCTAGAGTCCATACTATTTGTCAAAACTGTACTGCAAGCCATTTTTTGTGAAATTTTTAAAGACTCTGCTTGCAGCATCAACTGATGGAAGCCAAGTAGAAGCCTGTTATTTTTGGTCAGTGAATATCTGATTAAACAAGACATAAGTACTTTCCTAATCTTATTCCCCAGAGCAGGATGGTGAACTTATGGCACGCATGCCCAAAGTGGCACTATAGAGAAATCATCTGGCACATAACATATCATATGATTTTGATTGATCGTCTGTCTTTTTCAATCACCCTTTTCTCAATAAGCTTTTTTTTTACATTTATTCTAATTAAAGCCTATTCATTTAATTTCTTTAAATATTGTTATTCAAAGTTTAAAACTTTGGCACGCATAAACATCTTTAAAGGTAAGTGTACTTACTACATGGCATGCAGGTTCAGAAAGGTTAGCCACCCTTGCCCTAGAGTTTGCTTCCAACAGACTCTTATCTGTTTCCTAAAATGAAAGAGAGATTTTTTAGATGACAGTTTCAATAAGTAGCAAAGAAAGCCATTAAAGACATATAAAACTTTTAAAAAATCCAGCACCAAGTTGCTTAACTTTCCTGGCAACATTTAAAACTGCATATTTAGGTTTAGTGTTATATGTTATATTTTATTTTAAAAAGCTTTTTATATTTTCAATTATTGTAAAATGGCAAAAAGCTTAATTTTGAGGGTAATTCCGGGTTTTATAAAACTTGTAAATGCTAATAAGGAGTAAAATTGCCATTAAGTCTGACCCTACTGAAGATATGACACATAACACCCTCTTTATCTCCCCACCCTATTAACCTTTAATCACCAAAATTTAATAGTATCAATCCCCTAATATACAAACAACCTTGCAAAATTTCAGAAATTTTTGACAAAAAGCACAAGAGTTTTAAGCTTCAAACAGGGTGAGCAAAATCATGCCTTCCACACACTTATATCCATACATGCAGAAAAACCCCCAAATTTTTTTGCATTTCTCAACATTTCAAGGTCCCTTGAATCCAAAAATGTAAAATCTTGGGGGATTATTTTTAGACCAATTGTCATACTTTCCTGTATTGTTTATAACAGAACTGGAATGCCTCTATTATTTATAGCAGTAATAGCTTCCAGGACTGCTTTGACAAATGGACTAGATGCTGACAGAAGTTTAATTTGAAATAGTAGGTTGTAAGAATTTGTATATTATTTAATAATTAGTACCAAAGTTTGGTTTATTTTTAATTACTATGTGTAAATTTCCTAAGTAGAAAATATATTATTTTACATAAGTGAAATTAACTGAAAATTTTAATATACAGCCTGGAAGATTAAAGAATTGTCAAGCAATTGGTTGGTGGCTGGATGAATCAAATATTGCTCAAGTATCAATTAATTTAACTGATCATGAAACAACACCTATACATACAGCATTTGAAGAGGTACAGTACATTCTGAAAATTTCTGATATATGTAATATACATACAAATGAAATTAAGTTTGTAATGAAGTTTTTAAACATCGTAGAGTAAATCTTAATAAGGCATTAAAATAATCAACACTTTTTTTTTCTTTCTTTTTTTTTTGTAATACCAAAATTGATTATTCTTCGTGATTAAAAATTTTGATGTTTATGATATTTTTTCCAGGAATATTGGAAAACAAAGTAGCTAGAGATAAAATCTGTATATAAAAAATTTAAATTACTGTTTGATCATAATATAATTATGAACTATGGAAAAGATTGATGAAGAGATTTAAGTACAAATTTACAGTTAGCATTAACTTAAAATTTTAATATTTATGTCTCATATCGACATGTTAAGATTCTATAATTAAAGCAAGCTGTGCAAATTCAATAATTGTATAGAATACATTAAATACTTTTCTAAACAATGTCAAACTAATTGTTTTGGCTCAGATTTTCTTTTGTTTGAAATATATTTCAATTCTTTTCTGACAGCTTCTTTGAAATACCATACTTATTTGAATAATTCATATCTTGAGTAATCTGATCACTCCATTTTTTAAGATACTGGTTTAAAAGAAGGAAAAACCTCAACCAGTTTAGTGTATTAAATATTTAACAAATTTTACTAATTTATGATTGTAATACAACAGCCTTTTCTCTTTGTTTTGTAGTATTTAGTATGGTGGTTCTCAGTTTATGTGTCCATATGGTATTAAAAAATAAAGCATTGAGGATAAAAAAAATAATTTATATACTTTTGTTTCATGAGCATGATATAGTGCAGTTAAATGAACCCCTGGCATCATTTCATCCGTTTATTTACTCTTATTAGTTGATACACATTTTGGGCCTTACAATGCCCCTCTTCAGTCAACTAATTTTAAATGTACATCATAATTATTACATAATATTAAACCATTTAAATAATACATATAATTTATAAACATACCTTCTATTCTATATTTTACATTAGGCAAATTTAACTTCTCTTCTGTTGTTTGCCTTTCCAAGACTATTTTAATTAACATTTTAACAGATGTGCTAACAACATCTTAAAGTAGGTATATGCATGAGTACAGGTCCTTAATAATTCTTTCTATACTGCCATTTGTGGAAGAAGTACAATAAGTTATAACATAGTTATAAGCATACAAAACCTCAAAGAACATACCTGTTGTACACTTCAAAGACAATTAAAAGTTTTTAAATCGATAAAATTAACTCTTAAAACTACGACAATACCCTTTATTAGGATTGTTGTAAAAAAGTACACACTTCTACAGCATTTTCCATCTGCATCACATAATCTCATACCAATTTACATAATTTTATTTACTTAAAGAATCAAACTATAGTTAGAATTTACTAACTTTTTCATTATAAAAATTACTTTACAATAAAGGCTTTTTTTGGATTAATTAAAAGATACCATTTCTTCAGAACTTTTTAATCATGTTTTCTGGCTAATTTAAGTATATTTGTGATTCTTTTTACATAGAGTTTTTGTTTTTACAATTTTTATAATTTGTAACACTTTTACATAATACTTATTTTACATTGTACAGTACTCGTTTCATTTTTATAATATTTTTAACCAATTCTTGTTTATGTTAATGCTAAGATTTTTATTGCTTAAGATCTCTATGCTTTCTTTGAATTTTCTGCTGTATCTTGTTCTTTTTGTAAGATTTTTATATTATTTGAATCTACATTGCAGTTGTTTAGTGTACAGTGTTCATAAATACTGAGTTGTTTCTACAATGTTTAAAATTTGTTATATGCTCCTTTTTGCATGCTCGACATGCTCTTGCATGCTAAAGGACAGAATATGTATTCATGTGCCCATCAAGATCTTGTATGAATCCTGAGAGATTTTTTTTTTAGGATTAAATGAATTAAGTAAAACTTTTCATTTTTAATAAGAAGAAGGCTTAAAGATTTTGTTTTCTGATTAGTAAAACTAACATTCATTTTATACAGGGAGGAACCATTATGGTATATTTTCTCTGGGCTTGAGGAAAAATTCCTAGCTTCCAACCCTTGATGGTTCTATCTGTGGCACTGAATATAGTGACAGATACAAAGAGAAGGTTACAAACTATCTCTATTGATACAAAAAAATAAAATATATTTGTTCGAAGTCAAAAACATTGTTTTTAAAAATATTTACAATGATAAATGTGATTTATTGGATTATTTGCAATGTGATTGTTAGCACCTGTTAATAAAAAGATATTGATTATTAAAAGATTATTAAAAATATACTTATTAAGAATTCAAATACTTTTGCAAGTTGCATCATCAAATTTGTTTCAAATAAACTGCACACTGACTTTTTTGTCATAATTTTTTTGGAAAAAAAGATGCATGACTTATTTGAGAAAATACAATACTTATTAAGAATTCAAATACTTTTAATTTTTGAGTTAACATATCTTTAGATCCACTACTGATTCACTAGTGCTATAGGTAATACTGAACTAATGAACTCAACTAAAAATAATCCTATTCAAATGTGTTTAGTTGGTTAATGACAATGGGAGGTGCTGCTACTCAACCAGAGAAAATAGAATGAATGGATTTACTAAACTAAATTGTTTCACTAAACTACTAAATTAAATTTCACTGTCCACATATGGTAAGTTACTAAATTACTTGCCAGTCAACTAAATTTTTGGATAAGTCTGAACAAGCCTTAAAAAGTAATATAAATATAAAGATTATTTTCTGTCAGTCTCAGTTGTACATTTAACTTGCTTTATTTAACCTCACTTTCACAAAAATAGTCACACAAAAATGTTTAATAATAATGATCTCAACTATTAACTATACATAGCCATTATGTCAAGCAAATGTCCAGTTGATAAATGAAATTTATTACTAGTAAAGTAAGCAAAGTGCTTAGTTACTGGAAGCATCCTGGACTTTGCAAGTTGCATCATCAAATTTGTTTCAAATAAACTGCACACTGACTTTTTTGTCATAACTTTTTGGAAAAAAGATGCTTGACTTATTTGAGAAAATACAATAATTGAAATTATTTTCAATTAATTTATAGAATAAGCTATCATTAGTAAATACATGTTTGTATGATATAAGATAAATGTATTGTTAAAATTAATGTTTTAATATTTAGTATTTTAAAAATGAAAACAAATTTGTCTTGATACTATGTGAATATGGGAGGTAGAATGACTAATTTTTCACACACTGCCAGAAGAAATAATGATATTTATGGGCTGAATTCCATTACAGAATTTTTTACATTAATAATAATTTTTTCATAATATTTTTATAAAAATAAAAACACATACATAGAAAAATGGTCACCTTTAATGAGTCAATTTCACACATTAAAGGATTAATTTATTAATCTGTTAACTTTAACTTTATTTAAATATAGTTATAACTTATTTTAATGTAACTGTATTTATATCTATAATTATATGGACAAATAAACATTAATTTAATTTGAAACATTTAATTTACTCAATTAACTAAAATAATATTTCTAAACTTTGTGCTATTATTTTTCAAATTATTTAAATAAATTTTAAACATACAAAATAAATTATTATGTAGGTTTCTTCAGATGCTCGAGAATTAAATATAGCTGTAACTGGATCTCAGATTGTGGGTTTGGTACCATTGCGTGCATTATTACAAGCTGCTGAGTATTATATTCAAAAAGAGAATCTTTTCATTTTAGAAGAAGAACAAAAAATACATTTGGTAATTATGACATTATTATTCTGTAACTATAATGATTAAATTTAGTTTATAGTAAGACAGAAAATTCAAATATTTCAGGAATTTAAAAAAAAAAATAATGTTTTGATGAATTTCTCTGTTTGTATCCTGGTCTACTTGGACCTTGTTTATTAATAGGACTTATTATACTGGTGTAGTTTCTGATTAGCAAATAGAAGAGATCTTAGTCAAAAAGTCAAAACAAAATATTTTGACTATATTTTGATCAGGTGAAAATATCTTTATTTACAAGTATAAGAAGTCCTATTAATAAACAAAGATGTCACAACATGAACATGATGATATTCAAATTAGATTTTAATGTGCTTGCAGATAAGATACTACTACTATTTTTCAGTATGCATTGCAATTGAATTTAAATCAAATTAATTAATAAAAACTGTGTTAATGTGAGGTCAGCCGATTAGTGGTGAGGTGTTTTTCGACAGCCGAGCGGTTCTTTCTGTCGTGTGGGCGCAGACTGACTTCCTGAGACAGGTTTACCATAATACCGTTTATTAAACATATAAATTTTCCTTACAAATTACTTGTTAGACGAGGTAGCACCCCAAAGCGCATAGATAAAGTTCGTAAAAGTCGGTTTTCGTCGCTAGAGGATGGACGCTGTCGGTGAAACACTCGGTGGGCCCCGGGGCGTTGATTACGGCNTTAATTAATTATTATAAAATGGCCAAAAGCTTAATTTTGAGGCTGGTGGTGTGTTTTTAATAAGAAAAATTTGTAAATGCTAATAATAAGGAGGAAAATCGTAATTCATTCCGACTCTATTCGAGATACGACACACGATATCTCCGTTTATTTCCCCAACCCGTTCACCTTTAAACAAGAAAATTAAACAGCATCAACCCCCTAATACAAAACCTCCCTGCAAAATATCAAAAATTTTCGATAAAAAGCACAGAAGTTATTAAACTTCAAACAAGGTGAACAAAGTCGTGCCCCACACTTACACACACACTAACACTAACAGAAAATATTCCGAATTTTTTCGACGTTTTAAGGTGTCCTAAATCCAAAAATGTATAAATATTGGAGGTGAGATTGTTATTTTTTTTTTTTTTGACCGATCGCCATACATTTCCTCTGTTATATATAACTGCTGAGAAAATAAACATTACAGTATTTAAAATGTTTGCTCTAATACTCAAATTATTACTGTAGTGCCTTGCCCCTGTACATCATACTTTTCCTTGTATACAGGTGTTGTGCCGGTCGTCTATCTAACACATTTCCCGGATAAATTTTTGACAGTGGGAATTTATAGGTCTACAGTTTATTTTTTCAAATTACAGTTTAATCGCTACAGTTAACTCTTGAATAATGAAAACAAATTATTTATCATATCGTTCATAATTTGTATCAAACATCATTAATATTTAGTGACCCATGACCCTTTCTTGTTTAGAAACAGAAATGAATGACATAGTAGAAATACAGTCGACCCCCCTCTAACACTGTTGATAATTCCGTTTTATATGAATTCCGTGTTGTACGAGTCACTTAGATTTTAAAAATACGTGAGCCGTTCACAGCCTGGCACACGTATTTGTAAAATCTAAGTGACTCGTACAACATGGAATTCATATAAAACGGAAAAACCAACAGTGTTATAGGGGGTCGACTGTAGTTTAACTTGAAAATATAAAGCAGATTTTGAAATAATTAATTTTAATTGATCAATTTCATTATCTTTAAGTGGACAAAATAGTGATGTAATACTTTGAAGACTTGTTGATAAACTTATTTTATAAACACATTTGTTGATTAAAATTTAAAAATGAAAAAAAGAATTAATCAACATATTACAGGATTCATTTTCAAAGACTGATGCCAAATCATTTGTCATTTGGTTTATCAAGTTAAAATATCTTTGAATTCGAGTACTCGAATTACTGGTCTTTGCATAAGACAGTGGTTTGTGAACTTTTTAGAGATGCCTCTATTCATAAAATTAACTTTTCCTATTGTTATAAAATAGATATAACATTTAAAAGCATGAATGCATTTTTCCATTAAAACTAGTTTTCAACAACTGAAGACTTATTTTAATGACAAAAGGATGCAAAATGTTTTATTGTGTCTTTCTATACTCTTACATATACTATATCTTAATAAAAATTATCAATGATGTATCTTCAATTGAAACAAATTTTGATTGCTGGAAGTTTTTCAAAATAATCATTGCAAACCTCATATTAGACCATTCCTAAAATTAAAATTTATAGAAATTGATTTTAATATTATTTACCAATATACTACTAAGCAACAGTACTTTCACACATTTCCAGAAGCTACCTGATGTTGCAAAATTGAAAATGAAAATGTTTTTGACCCTGTTCAGTGGCCAACTTCAGGTATTTTCATCAAAGATTTGCATTGAAAGTTGTACCTTTATAAATGTTATAGAATTTTTTCAAATTTTTACTGGTTTCAAACTTGCATTGAAAGTTTTAAAATTTAGCCATTTTGGAATTTTTGTTTAAAATTCTCTTGTTTACACCATCAGCTTCAAACATTATTTGTAGAACCTACCTTTTTAAGTATAGAGTCAAACCTTGGGTTTCAAATGCCTCAATTTTTGAACAATTTGGTTTAAAAACAAAATTTTGAATGCTCAGCAAGAGTAGCTTGTTTGGCAACTGAACCTTAAGTACCCTCTCATGGTCGCACCAGTGCTGCCAGCTACAACACGCACACCAACAAAAATAATATTGGAGTAGCCAAGACATAACCAAAGATTGCAGTGCCACAGCACTAGTGGAAATTTAGATTTGCCGACTGGAAAGCTTTTGATTAATTGACGTTTCAGTTGATCAACATTCGGATAATTGATGCTCTACTGTATTTGTTTAAAAACTGTGTTGTACACAGCTAGTTTTGTCTTATGACTTAATTCTTTCTTGTTCCGGAATATAAGAATATTATAGGAATATATGTATAATTAAAATGAGAAAAATTGAAATTTAATCATTTATATAATTATGTAAAATTAGAAATTTTATTTAATTGTTTATGTAATTTTTTATTCATATTATTATTATAAATTCAAGGATTATTATTTTAATTACTGTATTATAGAAACTTAACTTAATTGTAAATGTTTTAATTTTTTAAATAATTATTTTAAAATTTAAATATTTAATTAGGTCATAAATAGGCTTGGACTGAATTCACTTAGCCAGTTCATTCCAAAAGAACGTGTAATAGAATATATGCTTCCAGATCAACAATCAGGATCATTAATAAACAAGACAGTAAAAGATTTTGTGTGTACAGTGGCTGCCAGAACACCTGCGCCTGGTGGTGGATCTATTGCTGGTGCTGTAGCTGCAATGGTAAGTTCTGTTATAATTATTCTCAAAAAAATTTCTCACATCTTTATTTAGGGAATCAATTATAAATGAAATATTGTGTATTATACATTATATACAGTGTTCCTATGCACCTGGAAAGTCAGGGATTTTCATTAGCGTTCAGAAAAACTCATGGAAAGTAAGGGAATTTGTTTCCTTGATTGCCTTGTTGATTTTGTTTGCTGACAGTATGGCTGACCAAGTGTAGCTGTCTGCAGGCAGCANTTAAAGAGATTATTAAAAATTGATAAATGACAACTGAAACTGTTAAATCAGATACAGGGTTCCTACGCACCTGGAAAGTCAGGGATTTTCATTATCGTTCAGAAAAGCTCATGGAAAGTAAGGGAATTTGTTTCCTTTATTGCCTTGTTGATTTTGTTTGCTGACAGTATGGCTGACCAAGTGTAGCTGTCTGCAGGCAGCAAGAAGTATTGTAGTACAATGCAACTTATGAAAAGGGGTGCAGAATATTTTCAGGATCCAAAATTTCACCCAAATTTCAATATACAAAATTTCTCCAAAATTATAGTGCACAAAATATACAGCATACAACAATATCAATTGTTTTTAAATTTTAAAAATGCTTTATTAATTATGCAGTATTATAAGTTTGAGAGAAAAATTTACTAATCATCATAAAGTTGCTATTCAGCAATGATTATCATAAAGTAACTATTTTTTATTACATGTCTATACAAAAAAGAACATTTTTTGTTGCCATGAGGAGAGAAGGGCTTGTTTCATTTTGATATTTATTATGTCTTTCTGTTAAATATGAAATGCTTTTCAGAAGATTTATATCAGAAACCTTTTGGTAAAACTTTTTACCAATTTTTCTCTTTGCCAAATGATCTTGAGAGTCAGGAAACTTTTAAATGCCTAGTTTTTCTGTAATGTCTTGAAGCAGTTTGGCATATATTAAATTCAATTAAAGCCTTTAATTTGGTTTATTTTGAATGCTCACTTCTGATTGAAATTTTTTTGAACAATATTGCATTACTGTTCAGTAGTTGTTACCTTTCCCATGTGGTGAATTAATGTGCTTTGCCTCTGCAGCCTGGCACACGTATTTGTAAAATCTAAGTGACTCGTACAACATGGAATTCATATAAAACGGAAAAACCAACAGTGTTATAGGGGGGTCGACTGTAGTTTAACTTGAAAATATAAAGCAGATTTTGAAATAATTAATTTTAATTGATCAATTTCATTATCTTTAAGTGGACAAAATAGTGATGTAATACTTTGAAGACTTGTTGATAAACTTATTTTATAAACACATTTGTTGATTAAAATTNTACAGTGTATTGTTCAAGTGTAAATTTATACAAGAAAATTAGTCAAATTTGAATGATATGTTATTTGTTTTGATTTATTTTTAAATAGCTTAAAATTAAGCAATATCTTTTAACTTGATAAATAAAATATGCAAATACAGTAGAATCCACTAGTTGTAATCACTCTAGGACTCAGTTATACTAATGATAATAATCAACTGTGATAAATATTAGGAGAGGTTTATTTTTCAGATGGAATATGCTGGTGTACTGTACTGTCAGTTACTGAATGAGAAAAATTCTATATGGTCTGACAACTGACACAATAAAAACAAATGAAATAAATCAGGCCATTTTACTGGCCACATCAAATGCAGCAATCCAATTGTAGCCAGTGTAAAGCAACAAAATATGGGATGCCTCCTTTTGTCGGAGATTATCTTTCAACAAATGGACAATACCATTTGGTAATTGTTTGTCCCTACTACATTGTTGTCATGAAACAGGGTATAGAGAAGTGCTAATGATGATATTTTGAAAAGGAAAAGCAAAAACATGGTGTCATTTACCTACCAACAGTAAATTCAAAATGAGAAATATGGAAGAAAGTTAGATGAGACATACAAAAGATTTGAAAAATACTATAAATGTTACAATAGAAATTCACAGATTTAGAAAAAAAAAATAAATACATAGTAATAAACCTGATGAACACATTTGATGCCAGATTAGTATAATTAATAAATACAGTCTTTTGATGTTAATTTAGTTTAATCCAAATGTATGCAAGTACTTTCAACATTTCACAAAAGTTGTCTTCAGATGGAATAAAATATATTTAGAATGAGAACAAAATTTGAGAGTTTTGTTCTCATTCTAAATACATTTTATTTCACCTGAAGATGACATTTGTAAAATGTTGAAAGTACTTGCATACATTTGGATTAAACTAAATTAATGCTGAAAGACAATGTGTATTTATTAATTAAATAAATAGCAGTATTAAAAATTGTTTTTTAATTATTGTTACATTATTTTCTAAAACAGAACTTTAGTTTTAGTGACCCTATATGTATACCAGAAGTAATTATTTTAGAAAGCGCTTTGATTAAGAAAAATAAGTAAATATGATTACAATTAGTGAAAATTTAATTTTTTTAGATTTTAATGTTAAAAGGCCATGTTAAAACAATTTAAAAAATGCTAACATAAAGATTTATTATGCATAATAATTTTTATCACAAATTTTGATTCATTCATTTTTTGCTTGTTTCACAGTAGCATTTTTAACAGTAGCTAGCTGCTGTAAAACTAAAGTAAGAAAAGCTATTAATTTAAACTATTATACTGTGGGAAAATAACAATTTAGTGTAATTAGTGTTCAAACTTAAAGAGATTATTAAAAATTGATAAATGACAACTGAAACTGTTAAATCAGATACAGGGTTCCTACGCACCTGGAAAGTCAGGGATTTTCATTATTTTTTGAAAGTCAGGGAATGTCAGGGAATTTGTCAAAAATTGTCAAAAAGTCAGGGAATTTGTCGAAAATTGTCAAAAAGTCAGGGAATTTGTCTCCTTAACTGCGTTGTTGATTTCGTTTGCTGAATATAGATGACCAATCATAGCCATACGCAGACGGCAAGAAATAATGTTGCAATCTTTAATAAGAAAATACACCAGGATCCATTTTGAAATGGTTTTTTTCATCGTTCTGAAGCCATATAATTTTACAGTTGTGGATTAATAACAGGATAAACTACTTTTATGTAATAGTGTTTAATTTTTAATTTTAATAATTCAGCGATTATAAAAAGATGAAATTGTTTATTAGAATAAAAAATAACTAATTAAAAATTTGTTTGCAAACTTTTAAAAGTTGAAATCGTAATTTATTAGAATGTTCATTTCAAAATAGCTAAATAGATCAGTAAAAGTCTGTAATTTAATCGTTTTTCACGTTTAAAACATTACTACACAGCATAAAAAATTATAAATAGTTACCCGACGTTTACAGTAAAATACTGGTGCTGACTTGTTGTTGGCACAAGCTTTTTATATTTGTTGTTACGATTTTCCTTGAAAGTACTGTACTGCAAGCATATTTTTCCCTCTCTTCTGTTTTTTTCTGCAACTTCGATACATAGTTTAATAATTAGTTTAACTGAAATGACGTTGTAACAAATATCACTGATTTTGGCAAATTTAGGGCTTAAAAACTGGCAAGATTGATCATGCTTGTAATAAATATTCTGTAGTTATATTTTCGAAAATCAACAGGTAATCCGATAGTTTAACCAATGTTAACTTGCTTATAATTAAAATTTAAAAATTAAAAAGCTGTAAATTTAAAAAAAAATAATTACATTACTAAAAAATTAAAATAAATTTGATTANTTTTAAAAGAATTGAAAGTAAGTGACAAAGATATTCTGTGTTTTCTAAGAGATTGTCGAAATGTGCTGAAAGTGATGACACAAAAGATTATTGAGAAGGGACCTGTCAAGTACAAATGTGTGAAAGCTTTGAGCAGCTTAGACCCAGAAATTATTAAAATGCAATCAAATGTTGGAAAATTGTATTTCAATGTTTTACTGGAGGTTCTACATGATACAAACAGGATTGATGAGAAATGTGCTGTCAAAGCAAAAGAACAGTATGATATACTCTGCAGTAAAGTCCCCATAAAACCCTATTCTACAAAGTTTGAGGACTTCATATCTGAAAGGAGTGATGATGATGGTCTGGACACATTTTATTGTGAAATTTTGAAGGATGATAGGCAACTGCAAGATCTATGGTCTATTATCAAAATTTCTCTTTCTTTCTCACATGGGAATGCAAGTGTTGAGAGTGGTTTCTCGGTTAACAAATCACTGTTGAGTGAAAATCTTAAGGAAGAAAGTTTAGTTGCTCAACGCTTAGTTTATGATGGGATCCATTTTGCAGGAGGTATTGATCAAATAAATATAGACCAGAAAATGTTGTTAACAGTCAGAGGATCTAGACAGCGATATATTGAATCTCTGCAACAGAAAAAAGATATTCAGAAGCAGCAGACATTGAGGGCTGAAGAAAAAAGAAAACTTACACAACAACTTAAGGATTTAAAACAACACAAGAAAATGTTAAGAAAAGATCACGAAAAGGAAGAAAAAGAGATTGAAATGAAAATAAATACACTTGAGGAGAAAAGGCTAAAACTACATTAATATAATAGTTTTTGTGTTTTGTGAATTGTAATTCATTTTTTATTTTCTAATTATCTGTATTTTGAAAAAAGAGGATTAATACTAAGAAGTTTCTCTGTATTTTGATTGTCCATTTTGTAAAAAAATAAAAAGATTTTACAATAAATTAGATGCATTTGTTAGAGAAGCTATAGTATAAACTTACACCTATTCCTCTTTATGTACAATCATTGATTTTTTTTACGTAGGAAAAATGCTTTATTTAAAAATTTTTAAATTTAACTTTTTGTTAAAATTATGTTGCTGTTTAAAAAAAGTTACTCTTTTTGTTGAAAGATTGGTTTTAAAATTATGTGTTTCTAAGTCAAGAGTTCATTTTAAGCACAGTACAGTACTATTTGTTTATCAAAGAATACTTTTTGTTGATTTTACGTTACCTTGTATTTACTAGATTTACATACAACTAATAATGATAAATGATGATAAAATAAAAAGCTTGTGTTTTGTTTGTAAATTGCTTATTTTTTCATTACATTGAAGTTGTGGATTCTATCAAACATTTTTCTACAGGATGTATGTACTGTATTTTTTTAATGTGACAGTCTTTGAAGCATATCAACTGTGCAAAAAGAGGGCTAGATGTAATCAATGTTCACAGTAAATGTTGTTTTATTATGTCGATATTCCACACTAAAAAATGTGAGGGTCAGGGAATTTGGACAAAGTTGGTCAGGGAAAGTCAGGGAATTCAAAACAAAAATTTGAGTAGGAACCCTGCAGATAGCATGAAAATACAACTTAAAAATGCCTGTTTATCTGACAGATAATGATGACAATAAGCAAAACTATTATTACAATAAGCAAAGTTTTATAAATGTATGATTCTGATAACAATATCTTAAATTACAAAAAGTGGATTCTATTGTAGTTAGTAAACTTGATGTGTATCAATAACAAAACAAGGAATGAAGTTTTTAAGTGTTTCATAAGAAATAGTTCAGAAATTCATTTCATTTTTATTATAACTATAAAAATACAAAAGAAATTTTGATCAAATATGATAAAATGAAATCTTTAGTGTGCATTTTGATTCTGTCATCTAATATACAGAATTTATTATGTTTATCAAAAACATATTTTGATTAAATTATTTAAAGCCCTAAAAGCAAAAGATATACTTTATATAATTATACTAAAAATGGCATGAATTTTTCAGGGTGCTGCTTTAGGTGCAATGGTTGGACAGATGACTTATGGTAAGAGACAGTGGGAAATGTATGATGTACAGATGCGGCGCTTAATTCCTATATTGCATTACACCATGAAAGAACTACTTACCATTATTGATAGAGATACTACTGCTTTTAATGATTATATGGTAAGTATTTGTTATAAATCCATAAAAAATTTAAAATATTAAATAGCTATACTTTTTTAAAAATTTCTTTTATTATAATATGAAAGAGGTGTTGGTAGCAAAAGTAGGACATCTTTCCATTCAGAGAATACTAAGTTGAATGCTGTTTGAAGAAAGTATGTGTTACTTATCCCACAAATCCAGGCTTAAAAAATTAAATATCTCACACAAGATGTAGAATTATCTATTACGTGTTTTATGTTATGTTTAAAATTTTACTGTCTGTGTTGTATAATGCTGGGGTTCTATATTTTAAACTTACAAGTTTTCCATATATAAACATGTTAGAAGTAATATGTAAACTTAAATGACAAATTAAACCAGTGATGGACTGCTGTTGCAATTTGGAATAGCATTTTGAAATTTGTCTGTAATAGTAGCAAGTAACTTTGAGCATTGTTATGGTGGAATCTGCTGTACATTTAATGCATTTTTATAGATGATACAACAATCAGCAATACATCAGAAATACATTGAATATAACAGATTATATATGACAGTAGTGCAGTCCATGAAGTAAAGATATGGCAACAATAATTATCAATCCATTCATTCTAATGTTATAATTTGTCATGTAACTAAAGGCTGGATTTGTATGCACATTCATGTTTTTTCCTAAGTGCTATGATATTGAAACCTTGATGATAAAAAACAATTTGGGTCCAAGTAGATCAAATGAATGTTTTCTGATAATGCATATAAAATATGCATTTATGACTTTTACTGCATAATTTTCAGATTTGATTATTTTCATGACTAAATAAGTGCATGTACAGTTTATGTGAGAAATATCATTTTACTGAACCTTTGAATATGAAACATGAATAGAAAAGATTGTTATATCAAGTTTGGTTTAACCAATATGTGTAAAACAGTAAAATTAATACAGAATTGCAAAGAAAGTTACATGAGTTTGTATTCTAAACATTTAAAACATATGGAAAGATTCTTTGTTGTGTGTCAGAAATTATTTCTTGCTTAAAAACTTTTCAAATGTCTTAGCATGTTGAAACATATTTACATCAACACAGTATGAAGAGGAGAAAACAAGCCAAAACAGCCTCTTTTTTCCTCTTTGACTTCTTTCCTAAACTGAAAACATGGCTAGGAGGGCAGAGATTTGAGACTAATGATGATCTTCAAAACAACATCAAGACCATATGGCAGCAACATTCTATGAAGAGGGAATGGAAAAGTTCATCCACAGATATGACAAATGCCTTTATTTTCATTGTGATTATGTCAAAAAGCAACCAGCAACCATGTTTGTATTTAACTTTTGATAATTAATTCATTTTGTTATTTACATTTGTCTTTGTTTTATGGACCATCGGAGGTTGAAAAAGAAACAGCTTTCGTAGAAATGATTGATTAAATAGCAAAGAACAGAAGTTTTCAACTAGTGGTCTGTGGAGAAATTTGGACATTGATCAACTCAAGGTTACATGAGATATTATGAAAAAATGCAAAATGCTTGGTTGCTTTTTCTTACTCATTGGGAGTTTTTATTTGAATTTTAAACCAAACACAAAATGACTATTATCAATAAATAATAATGTCAGTAAAATAACAAATAATGTGAGTGTGATTTTTGTCCTTTGAAGAAAAGAGCCAAGAATCATAAACTTATTTCAAACAAGCAGCAACAAACGTCACACTAATTTGTTATAATTAAACAAATGAATTTTATATTAATAAAGTAAAATGGAACTTTTATGATCATTATTCTATAAATTTACTATTTTATAGATGTTTGTATTGTTTTAAAAAAATCATAACAGTGGTCTGCAGGATTCAAAATTGTGAGTTTAGTGGTCTGTGAGATCAGCAAGGTTGGTGACTGCTGACATAGAAAGTTATAAAATTTTATTGAGCATGTAATTTTATTCATAATTGACATGTTTTATGTTGGAGGTGCACAATCATTATTCTAATACATGTTTTTAGACATCATAATTTTTAAATCCATTGTGACTACCCCATTGTTGCATGTTTATCTCCTCCCACTGAAAAAGTGTGACATAATAGATGTTAGTAAGATTTGCTTGCAGACAAAACTAAAGTATGTATGCATCCTAAAAATTTAAGTGTATATTACTGTCACTTTTAACATACATAATACATATTTCAGACTTTTTAATGTGCATATATTGTGAATTTAAATGCATAACTGATGATACAAGTTAAAAATAAACTGTCTTAATCAGTATTTTCACTGTTGCTACACTGAAATTTTGTCAGAATATTGAAAAACAATCAAATTATATTGTTTGTGTAAAATAAATTTAAATTTACAAATATTGAGTTTATAAATAGCAGTATTTAATGGCTTTTTTTATATAAATAAAACAATGGTATTAAAATAATTTACATAAATAATTCAAATTCTGAAAACTAGTCTGAAAGCTTTAGTGAGAATAAACAATCTTATTTTTAGCCTATGTTGGATTAGAATTGTTTTGTTAAAGAAAGTGTCAAGGATTAAACACAAAATTTATGTTTATACAAATCTTGTGATATGAGTAATGTTTAAATTAATTTAAATTATTAAGGAAATTATTTTATCAAGAAGTTTTAAGTTTATTTTCACTAAAAGACATTTTGAGAAGTTTTAAACTTCTTCATAATAGTTAATTTACTTGTCTTCAAATCTCTAAATTAAGTACAGTGGAACCTCACTTAACGAGCACCTCGCATAATGAAGTGTTTCAAATAATGTGCAAATCAAATTTTTAAAAAATGACTCGCTGACAAGTAGAGGGGAAGTCCCAGATTGTGTGCATTCTCCATCATGCTATTATCTGTGATTATTTTTGTTTTCTGCAAATCAAATTTGCATTCCAGGTTGGTTCATTTCATGCTAGAAGAAAAGATGATGATGATTCATGCTTCTTAAGAATGTATATTGTATAATTTTCTTTGAATAAACATTATACATAAAAGAATATTGTATTACTCGCATATAAGACAATCTCACATATAGGATGAGGTGTGACTTGAAAGATCAAAATAAAGAAAATTAGATTTATTAATACAATTCTAATTTTATTTCATTTAATCACAAATAAATGATCATCAAATGCACATATTAAGGCAAACAATCATGTTTTCTTGACCCTATCACCTTTTCTCTACTCGGATTGACCTCTGAAGCTTTGTTGCAATTCTCCTCATTTTCACTTTTACTCCACAAAGCATCATCCTCTGATCTGTCGAGTGAATTTAAAATGCAGTATTTCTTGAATACTGCTATCAGCTTTTGAAGATTGTTTTTCCATGCACCTGATACCATGTAGCAAAACCAAAAGATTATAATGCACGTGATAGGAAAAAGTTTATTTTTAATGATTCAGAATGTACAAATATTCATTAAGAATACCAATTTAACAAATATGAAATAGCTACATTTATAGTCATTGTTAAGTGACCAGCTATTTTCAGATCATCTCTTTAAAAGCGACATTTACCTTGACCTTGATAGTACACTGCTATAATGGCAGCGTAAACTATACACGGTTATTGCACAAAAATTATTGCAAAAACGCAAAAGATCCTTCGCTCATGCATGACCTAGGAATGCATTATCATATTTTACATTAATTTCTATGGGAAAAATTGTTTTGCTTAACGAGTGTTTCCCATTACGAGTAATATTCTGGAACGAATTATGCTCATTAAGCAAGGTTCCACTGTATTAGAAAGAGATTAAAATTTCTGATAATGTTTATTAGAAATAAACTTGGATTTCTTGAGAGTTGGCAGTTTGACTACTTTGTATAACTAAAAAAATAATAATTTTTATATTTTAATAAATAATTTATTTTTATAGTCAGCATTGTGGTAGTTATAAATCTGTATAAATTTTAATAGTTATTTATGATTTAAAATATTTTATTTGCAATAGTTAAGAATGATCTTAAAGCTGATTATTTTTTTTAGGCTGCTCTAAAACTTCCAAGAACTACTGTAGAAGAAGAGGCAGTGTATGTTCTTAAACATTATTTTATTTATCTGATTTAAAATAGTAATAATTTCAGCTATTTTTTTTTTTTACAAAAAATTTTGTTAAAAATTTCTTTTCAACATAATAATAAGAACTGAGTTTACCTAAATGCATCATTATAGAAACACAATGCATTGGTATAAAGACAAAACAAAAATATATTAAAATTAATTATTTAAACATAACAAGCAAAATAAATAAAAAATTAAATGTAATAAAATATATGCTCTCTACTTCAAATTAGTACTGTAGTGTCTTGCCCCTGTACATCATACTTTTCCATTAGAAATGGAGTCATGCTGGTCATCTATTAACTGCTTTCAGGAAAAGAAAAAAGTTTGAATTGAAATAACATGACTTTCAGTTTGCATCCGAAGTTCATATATAGTTAATCAGAGCTTCTTGCCTGTAAGATTTCCATATCTGGTCTTTTCTTTCATCTATCTAATTCCATTCTCAAGATTAAGGAAAGACACAAATGGACAGATGACAGTGGGAATGTATAGGTCTACAACTTTTTAAAATTGCAGCCCAATAAAATGAATAAATAAATGGTGCCAAATACAGTTCTAAAAAAATATTTTCTAAACAGTCATGGAGATAAGCTTCCTCCATGCATATGACAGTGGTGAATTTGGCATCGTTCACATTTTTAGTGATACCAGGTTCAAAGCTTTTTCTAATAATTTTTGTCTTATTTTACAATATATCCATTTTTTTGTCCAAAACTATATGGAGTAGGGAATGAGGTGTATCTTCATAACAGATACTATGTTTATGCTCCTTAATTCTTTCAATTACTTTGTTGTAGCTCTAAAAGCTCCTGATTACTAGTGCTCATTATTAGGACGTACAGTTCCTACTGGTTTTAACTTTTGTATCTGAAAGTTATTTTTTTCTGATAATCTGAAAAGAAAAGAAATTCCATTTTATTGTTATGTGATAATCATAACTACTCTTATATTTTGTTAACTTATTCAAGATATCAGATTAGCAGAAATGAATTGAAAGCCTTTTTCTGTTGTCATTATTATTTTCATGACTTAATACAGGGGTGGTGAACCTATGGCATGCATGCCCAAAGTGGCACGTAAGGCAAAATCATCTGGCATGTAATGTATCATACAATTTCTGTCTCTTTCAATCATCTTTTTGGTTTATCACCTGATCATCCTTTTTTCAATCAGCTTTTTTACAGTTATTCTAATTAAAGCGTATTCGTTTAATTTTTTTAAATATTGTTATTCGAAGTCTGAAACTTTGGCACACACAAACATTTTTGAAGCTAAGTATGCTTACAATATGGTATGCAAACACAAAAAGGTTTGCCATCCCTGTCCTAATACAATTATGCTTTTTCTTAATTAAATTCACAAAAGTTCTTTTATTAATTTCGTAATTCATATAGAGCTAGATTTGATTTGGTGCTTTTCTAGAAGGTTCCAATTACACAATATTTTGTGAACTGTACTGATTAAAAAGTAAAAGGCCACTTTATCCAAAAATGGGTCTTTTGGAGAATTTAGAGTAAATTGTGACAGATTTTTTTTTTCTTAAAAATTTCTATTTCAAATTTATGAATCTTCATAAGTGAATGTATGCAAACAAAGTACTGTACAGACAAACCCAAACATGTATAACATTTGGGTTTGTCTGTGTTTATGCTATGAATCTTTGCAACTGACATCAGCAACTGTAAAGTTGCTGATACCAAGAGCAGGCATTCATATTACAATTACTCCAGAAGATAGCATTTGTCTCTTATCTGAAATAATTCTTCTTAAAGATAAGTGACCAGAGTACAGTTTCTGGGTTCTACATGATGGTGATGTACTGTACAAACTGCATTCACTATTCAGTTTCTGATAATTTCTGGCAGTCACTCCACAACCCTAATATACTATAGATTTATCTTCACCTAACTTTTCTTTTTTCTATGCTAAAAAATTAAAGGATTGGCATTTTCAGTTGTTAGACAGAAGAATAAAAAGATAAGTGAGAAAGGAAGTCTATACAAAAGATGAATATGAAAAATATTCTGTGATCTGGAGAAAAAAATGACAGTCGTGTTTATTTTTAAGGGAAAAATATCAATTAATTTATTTATAGAAAATTATAAATAATGAAGAAAAAATCTGTAAATTTTTTGATCAGACCTCTATATTAACTTCAAATAATTGTAATCCTCTAGCTGTCAAAATACTAGATATAAATATTAAATGAGAACAACACAATAACAATACAAACAAATTAGCTCAAAAAACAAGTAAGAGTTATTATTTGGATGTCTTCAGTATAGAATGAATAAGATAACAGAATACATTTTAGAATAAATTTCAAAGTTATTCTGTTGCCTTATTTATTTTAAACTGAAGACACCAAGTAATAAAAAAACTTTTATTTTGGTGCTTTTTTTGACTGACATCTTACAGATATTATGCTATTCTAATTGAATATTTATTATAGATTCTGATTAGCTGTTAATGTAAACATTAAATATCAGTAAATTTTATAAAAATATATTTTTTTTAATAATAATATTTTGAATGATAGTTATTATTCTATTAATGATGGTAAAATAGATTTTTAAAAATTAAATGTTTTTTATGTTTATAGGAGAGATGCTGCAATGGAGGCAGGATTAAAGAAAGCTATTGCTGTTCCCATGAATCTTGCTAGAGCTGTGAGCAAAGTGTGGGAAGCAACAAAGGAATTAGCTGTTGTTGCAAATATTGGTACAAAATCTGATCTTCAGGTTTGTCTTAAAGTAATAATATAATTAATGTAGTTTGTATGTATTTCTAATCTTCAAAGGTTGATTGCTTGAAAAGTCTTTCAAGCAATTAACTTCTCTAAATAGTTTAAATTCTGAAATAGTCTTAATAGTCTGAAGTAATTTTTAAAATTTTGTGATATTTTTATGTTAATCTAATCCTATTAATGCTGATCAATTAATTACCGTGAATACATTATGAATTTCTTTCAATTTATAATGGGCATAAATTTAAAAATCTATTAATATTGATATAATGTCAGTACTTCTTATGTAGGAATTTAAGCAATAATCCACATAATCTTTTTATAATAATGTTTGTAGTATATGATGATGACCTTTATTCATTAAATAGAAAAGGTGGTGTTATTCTTGAGAACAGATTTATTTTATATATTTCAACCTTCTAAAACAGTGAATGAATGAATGAATATTTGAGGTTACGTTCATTTGATAATTGTTGTTCTAAGAAAATCTTATGAAACTTCTGGTATTTTCAGAGTTATTAGTAAAAATATAAAAAGTGGAAATCTCAAATGAATATATTATACTCATAAGCATTTTTTATAATTGAGAGATTTTATTTAAAAATACTCCAGCCAAGTTATGAATCGTTTACTTGTAAACAATTAAAAAAAATTCAAGATATTTCTTATTTCTTCAGAAGGATTTTCTCACAATGATTAAATTGAATGAGGTCATCTTTGCTGGTTTCAGACTGAACATGTCATCTTTAACTAATATTTTATGAATATGAGATGACATAACATTGGATTAATTATCCAATATTTCATCCTTGCTCTTGCTTCCTTGTGTTCATAAAATATTGAATAAAGAGCTTTTTAGGTAAATATTTGAGAATTTAAAGTTTGTTAAATTATAATTTTTTTATTTCATTTAAATCATTTATAAAGATCAGGTTTTTCTCGATTTTATAAATGTTCTTTTTTTCTTCTATTAAAATGTATTCTGCTGTGTAAATTAAAATTATTTTAAAGTATTGGTAATTTTGATATTCCTGTAAATTAGTGGAATTGTAGAAATATCAAAGTTGTTTAATAATGAAAAAAAAACATTTTTGTCAAATTGGCTATTTTTATATTTTTATGATAAAAAATTTTATAATTTATACAGGTTGGTGTGAAATGCTTAGAAACAGGTGTGCTTGGTGCTTATTGGAATGTAACCATCAATACAGAAGGAATCAAAGATGAAAAATATAAAAATGAGGTAAAAGTATCTATTTATATTAATTTAAGTATCCAAAAAGATGTCAAATCTTGTTAATATCATTTATTTCTATGTAATTTAATATACAGTAGAGCCTCGATTATCCGACCCCCTATCAACCGACCCCTTGGTTAACCGACCGTCCTAGTCGGCAAATTTCAAATGTCCACTATTGATGTGGCACTACAATATTTAGCTATATCTTGGCTACTTTAATATTATTTTTATGTGTTTTAGCTGGATCGACCATGAAAGGGAGCCAGTATTTAAACAAGGCTTAACTTTCTAATTTTTAACGATACAATAGCGATGATTATTATTTTAAAAAATTTTTGTTAAACTTAACATCGATGAAAATTCAACGCAAAGTAGGTTAATAGTGATATACTAATATACTAATTACATGGGATATAATAATATACTACACAAATAATAGATTTTTTCATATTTTTCGGTTATCCGCCTTTTCAATTATCCGACCAACCCCAGTCCCCAATTATGTCGGATAATTGAGGCTCTACTGTATTATATGTTTAATGATTTAAATGCAAAATGCCAATAACCAGAGATTGTTTAGAACAGCAGTCATTAACCTTTCTAGCCTCACAGACCTTTAAACTCACAATTTTAAATCCCTCAGACCACTATCATAAATTTTTTTTTTTAAACTATACAAACATCTTTATAATAATGATCATAAACGTTCCATTTTACTTTATTAATATGAAATTCAATTGTTTAACTGTAAGAAGGTAGTGTGAAGTTTGTTGCTACTTTTTCAAGTAAGTTTATGGATTCTTTGCTCTCTTCCATGAAGGAAGGCAATTGCAATCATATTATTTATTGATTTATTGATATTATTTATTCATAACAGTCATTTCATGTTTGGTTTAAGATTCAAATAAAAACCCCCAATGAATGAGAAAAAGCAACCAAGCATTATGCATTTCTTTCATAATATTTTGCATAACCTTGAATTGCTCAATGTTCAAATTTCTCCACAGACTGCCAAAATTTTCTCACAGACCATCAGTGGTCCACACCACCAGTTGGCAATTGCTGGTTTCAAATCAATCAAAAATTAATTACCAACAACTTATTTGTTCTACCAAATAAAAAAAAAAAAATGACATAATATACTCTCACTTATTCAAATTAATTATTTAAGGGATTGTTTGGATGAGTGAAGTTATAGTTAAAGAAAAGGAAAGAAAAATATTACATATATAATGTTTTTTTTTTTTTACAATTTATTTGGTATATATACTTGTTACGGTGTTAATATACAGTAGTACTCTGTTAATCCATTATACCGGTAATCCATCACTCCTGTCAATAGTAGCAGCTACTGGTAACAGCTACCTGTACACCCATCCCTATATCATTACTGATTACCAATTGTTGAACCATTGTCCGTTAATATAATAACGTTTGTTTTGTCCATTAATTGTTTGTTTTATCTGACGTTCTTTATTTTTTGTAAGTTCCAAAAAATGCCATTCCTAACAGTTACCATGTAGGTAAAACCACTGAACACTGGTAGTAGGTTTGAGCCTAAACAAAAGGCATTGTTCTTCATCTGAATACCTGAACTGGTCAATTACCCATAGAACAACCTCCTGGGAGATGGTCCATATGTTGTTTGCCGTGTTTCATCAAACAAAACCCGAAAAAAGTCATAACGCAATTTGTGATGGCAGCTGTTCTATGACCCAAAACAGAGTGAACTTCATTCTCTGAATGATCTTTATTTTTTAGTTTACAAACTTATAGATCCAATATACCACTGCAATATACTGTATATTTATGTATAGGAGCCTACTATAATTTTTTTTTTTACCTTGGCTGTGAGTAAAATTGCCATTTTAATTAATGATGTTATATAAAGGAGTTACTTTTCGATTAGGTTTTCAATATCTTTGTTTAATTTTTTAATGAAAATGTTTTTATTTCAGAATCTATAACTGCTTTTCTTTTTTCCTAATGGAAACAGGTATTACAAGAAATAGAGCAACATCGCTATCTGGCGGAGAAGAACTGCAACGAAGTTCTGAAGTTACTACAAGAAAGAAAGGCTTAATACCTGAAATAAATTTAAAGTGTAAAATTAGGATTAAATTCCGACGCAAAATCGCGGCTTATTCGATGTAAATTTGTGTCCAAATGGCACGATGTGGATCTAATTTTCTGTTGGAAAAATTAAAGTTCAGATATTATAAAATACATTTGTTAGACTAAAGATGAATTTAATTTACCTAGGGAGATGGATTGAATGAAGATAAAAGTATCTGTTATGCCATTTTCCCATTAATAATAATTGATGTAACTTTATTAAACCACTTCTTGCCCAAATATATCTATTTTATATATATTACACTATCATATTGTATTTAAATTTAAGGGCTTATTACACATATGAGACACTATTATACTAACTTATAATAGTACATACAATTTAGATCATTTTTATGTTATGGATATGTTAATAAATAAAAATGGTCAAATTGTATGTGCTATTGTGTAACTTAGTATAATAGTTGTCTCTTGTGTGATAAGCCCGTAAATTTAAATATAGTATAATATTATAATATATATATAATTGCGAAGTATTTGCATTATTATTTCTGAAATTGATGATGATAAAGTTCATTAACAAAATATCAGAGTTAATACGAAGTAAATATACACTGGCAAAAATCAAGTCATAATATGTTTAAGACCATTTAAAGAAAATAATAATCAGAAATATTTGTTGTATATTTCGTTGGTAAGAATAGTTTCACAACCGACAGTTTCACAAAACTATTTGAATCTTACGTAAGAACAACTACCCTTGGCTATCTTGGAGTGACTAACGTGAATACAATGGGGAACATTATAATCTAGATCAGTGATTCTCAAAGTTGGCGCTACCGCTACTTAAGGACGATAGAAAACTCAAGGAGCAGTAGAACGTAGGAAAATAAGAGGGACAAAAATTATTTTGAAACAAATAGATGCATTAAAAGGGAGCGATAATTCTAAAAGTCTTAAGAAACGCTGATCTAGATTGGTCTGCAGGTGAGTTAAGTTTTCTTGCAGAAAACATTCTCCTGGGTAACTTTCTTATCTGAGGGAGGTGACAACTGCAATTAGTCAGTTAATATATGTATATATATCAATATATATGTGTGTGCATCAGTGGCGTACCGTCATTGGAAGCGGTGTATGCGCCTTTTCTAAACAATAAATACATATTAATTTTAATTATATGAAAATAATCGCACAACATTTTATTATAACCACATTATGTATCTTATTACAAATTTCTATACTACACGTGAAAAANAATTAAAGTTCAGATATTATAAAATACATTTGTTAGACTAAAGATGAATTTAATTTACCTAGGGAGATGGATTGAATGAAGATAAAAGTATCTGTTATGCCATTTTCCCATTAATAATAATTGATGTAACTTTATTAAACCACTTCTTGCCCAAATATATCTATTTTATATATATTACACTATCATATTGTATTTAAATTTAAGGGCTTATTACACATATGAGACACTATTATACTAACTTATAATAGTACATACAATTTAGATCATTTTTATGTTATGGATATGTTAATAAATAAAAATGGTCAAATTGTATGTGCTATTGTGTAACTTAGTATAATAGTTGTCTCTTGTGTGATAAGCCCGTAAATTTAAATATAGTATAATATTATAATATATATATAATTGCGAAGTATTTGCATTATTATTTCTGAAATTGATGATGATAAAGTTCATTAACAAAATATCAGAGTTAATACGAAGTAAATATACACTGGCAAAAATCAAGTCATAATATGTTTAAGACCATTTAAAGAAAATAATAATCAGAAATATTTGTTGTATATTTCGTTGGTAAGAATAGTTTCACAACCGACAGTTTCACAAAACTATTTGAATCTTACGTAAGAACAACTACCCTTGGCTATCTTGGAGTGACTAACGTGAATACAATGGGGAACATTATAATCTAGATCAGTGATTCTCAAAGTTGGCGCTACCGCTACTTAAGGACGATAGAAAACTCAAGGAGCAGTAGAACGTAGGAAAATAAGAGGGACAAAAATTATTTTGAAACAAATAGATGCATTAAAAGGGAGCGATAATTCTAAAAGTCTTAAGAAACGCTGATCTAGATTGGTCTGCAGGTGAGTTAAGTTTTCTTGCAGAAAACATTCTCCTGGGTAACTTTCTTATCTGAGGGAGGTGACAACTGCAATTAGTCAGTTAATATATGTATATATATCAATATATATGTGTGTGCATCAGTGGCGTACCGTCATTGGAAGCGGTGTATGCGCCTTTTCTAAACAATAAATACATATTAATTTTAATTATATGAAAATAATCGCACAACATTTTATTATAACCACATTATGTATCTTATTACAAATTTCTATACTACACGTGAAAAAAAAGATAAGATTGCTATTGTATATTCGAATATTAGTGGCGGAGTGGAAGCGCTTTATCGTCAGCATCAAAAAAGCAAAATTCGCGCATGCGCTTTATAGAGCACCAACCTCACCCGGTTTAGCTGATGGAAGCCTAGGACCTCGGGGTGGATGCTACACGTACTGTACACCACATTCAATTCTATCCACGACCGGTTCTGGGCCGTTAGCCGCCTGTCCGCTAGATATTTGGCCGCCCTCGCCCAATTACGTGAATCACGAGTAGATTTATAACTTAACCCAACCAATAAGAATTTACCTATATGTTTTTATGATAGTTTTCTGTACAGTGACAAGAATTTTCAATAAGAATTTACCTATATGTTTTTATGATAGTTTTCTGTACAGTGACAAGAGTTTTAAAAAAATCCATTAAAATATTTGATATTTTTATTCCTCTCTCCGATTTTATATTACTCACGGATTTCAATGTTAAACCAGTGATATTACGATTTCATATATCCCATCTGCCAATGACGCCTGAATAGGGGCCAGCTTTTCCTCTAAGTCCTCCCGGAAGGCATTCTGTCTCCCTTTCTCGCGGGGGTCGTCTCTTATAAGACCGGCTTTGGTTACTTCGTAACCCCTCTCCTGTCTTCCTCGGATTGGTCGTCTTCTATAAGACCGACTCTTCCTCACTGTTTCTTCAGGAGTGAAAAGCGAATAGCAATAACACTCCTCTATCTGGATTGGAATTGGAATATATCCCATCTTTAAGGGAATGCAGAAAAAAACGTGTACAATTCTTGTATAATGTTAAAAAAATTAGCTGTTACTTTGACAGCGTCATTTACAACTAAATTTAATGAATGAGAGAGACGCACGAGGTACAGAAAAAGCTCTAGAATTTATTTTCCTAAATTTACGATTTATGTATCCGTTTGTCATAAAAATTTGTCTTTCCACTGTTTTCCCGAGACTACAAATATTCAAGTACGAAGTAATTGGTTTCGACTTATTTCTACTTAAGAAGTAGTTAAACAATTAAGAGATTAGGGAATTAGGGACATATAACCCTGCTGAAAGAGCTGGAATGTTACTTGAAAGCTTAACCGACCCAATCTCTGGCCGAGTACAGCGGGGACTGATTTTTTCGTAATATTAGACTAATATAAACAGAAATTTTTCCAGTTCAAGAAGAGTGACCGAAAAGTTGTAAATTTTGGAAATTTCCGTGGACACCTGGTCCTAAAAAGAATTAGTTAGAAAACAAATGACTTTTAAGTTTCACATATTTCGATTTTTATAGCTATGGTAAGAAACGTTTAAAATTTACAACAACCCTGTCGCATCTTTTGAGGTATATTAGTGATGCGACAAAAGAGCCATTTGACATTAACCGGTATCGGCACCCTCGGGATTTGGCAGCCCGCGTGTATGTACACGCCGCACACCTAGCAGGACCGTCTCTGATTCCACTCGTAGGGAGCTATTTGACTAAGTGGTTAAGATTTAAAGAGTAAACAATATTTTATGTTATTTTTATGTACGTTTCATTACAAAGCTATATTTAATTATAATTTTCTTTAAAAGTATATTCATATAATTGAAGAATGTTTTGTACCAAATATGTATATCCACACATTTTATTTCACCAAGTAAGTTTTTATAATTTTATTTTTAATTTTAGCCCTTNAAAAATTAAATGTAATAAAATATATGCTCTCTACTTCAAATTAGTACTGTAGTGTCTTGCCCCTGTACATCATACTTTTCCATTAGAAATGGAGTCATGCTGGTCATCTATTAACTGCTTTCAGGAAAAGAAAAAAGTTTGAATTGAAATAACATGACTTTCAGTTTGCATCCGAAGTTCATATATAGTTAATCAGAGCTTCTTGCCTGTAAGATTTCCATATCTGGTCTTTTCTTTCATCTATCTAATTCCATTCTCAAGATTAAGGAAAGACACAAATGGACAGATGACAGTGGGAATGTATAGGTCTACAACTTTTTAAAATTGCAGCCCAATAAAATGAATAAATAAATGGTGCCAAATACAGTTCTAAAAAAATATTTTCTAAACAGTCATGGAGATAAGCTTCCTCCATGCATATGACAGTGGTGAATTTGGCATCGTTCACATTTTTAGTGATACCAGGTTCAAAGCTTTTTCTAATAATTTTTGTCTTATTTTACAATATATCCATTTTTTTGTCCAAAACTATATGGAGTAGGGAATGAGGTGTATCTTCATAACAGATACTATGTTTATGCTCCTTAATTCTTTCAATTACTTTGTTGTAGCTCTAAAAGCTCCTGATTACTAGTGCTCATTATTAGGACGTACAGTTCCTACTGGTTTTAACTTTTGTATCTGAAAGTTATTTTTTTCTGATAATCTGAAAAGAAAAGAAATTCCATTTTATTGTTATGTGATAATCATAACTACTCTTATATTTTGTTAACTTATTCAAGATATCAGATTAGCAGAAATGAATTGAAAGCCTTTTTCTGTTGTCATTATTATTTTCATGACTTAATACAGGGGTGGTGAACCTATGGCATGCATGCCCAAAGTGGCACGTAAGGCAAAATCATCTGGCATGTAATGTATCATACAATTTCTGTCTCTTTCAATCATCTTTTTGGTTTATCACCTGATCATCCTTTTTTCAATCAGCTTTTTTACAGTTATTCTAATTAAAGCGTATTCGTTTAATTTTTTTAAATATTGTTATTCGAAGTCTGAAACTTTGGCACACACAAACATTTTTGAAGCTAAGTATGCTTACAATATGGTATGCAAACACAAAAAGGTTTGCCATCCCTGTCCTAATACAATTATGCTTTTTCTTAATTAAATTCACAAAAGTTCTTTTATTAATTTCGTAATTCATATAGAGCTAGATTTGATTTGGTGCTTTTCTAGAAGGTTCCAATTACACAATATTTTGTGAACTGTACTGATTAAAAAGTAAAAGGCCACTTTATCCAAAAATGGGTCTTTTGGAGAATTTAGAGTAAATTGTGACAGATTTTTTTTTTCTTAAAAATTTCTATTTCAAATTTATGAATCTTCATAAGTGAATGTATGCAAACAAAGTACTGTACAGACAAACCCAAACATGTATAACATTTGGGTTTGTCTGTGTTTATGCTATGAATCTTTGCAACTGACATCAGCAACTGTAAAGTTGCTGATACCAAGAGCAGGCATTCATATTACAATTACTCCAGAAGATAGCATTTGTCTCTTATCTGAAATAATTCTTCTTAAAGATAAGTGACCAGAGTACAGTTTCTGGGTTCTACATGATGGTGATGTACTGTACAAACTGCATTCACTATTCAGTTTCTGATAATTTCTGGCAGTCACTCCACAACCCTAATATACTATAGATTTATCTTCACCTAACTTTTCTTTTTTCTATGCTAAAAAATTAAAGGATTGGCATTTTCAGTTGTTAGACAGAAGAATAAAAAGATAAGTGAGAAAGGAAGTCTATACAAAAGATGAATATGAAAAATATTCTGTGATCTGGAGAAAAAAATGACAGTCGTGTTTATTTTTAAGGGAAAAATATCAATTAATTTATTTATAGAAAATTATAAATAATGAAGAAAAAATCTGTAAATTTTTTGATCAGACCTCTATATTAACTTCAAATAATTGTAATCCTCTAGCTGTCAAAATACTAGATATAAATATTAAATGAGAACAACACAATAACAATACAAACAAATTAGCTCAAAAAACAAGTAAGAGTTATTATTTGGATGTCTTCAGTATAGAATGAATAAGATAACAGAATACATTTTAGAATAAATTTCAAAGTTATTCTGTTGCCTTATTTATTTTAAACTGAAGACACCAAGTAATAAAAAAACTTTTATTTTGGTGCTTTTTTTGACTGACATCTTACAGATATTATGCTATTCTAATTGAATATTTATTATAGATTCTGATTAGCTGTTAATGTAAACATTAAATATCAGTAAATTTTATAAAGAATTTTATAAAAATATATTTTTTTTAATAATAATATTTTGAATGATAGTTATTATTCTATTAATGATGGTAAAATAGATTTTTAAAAATTAAATGTTTTTTATGTTTATAGGAGAGATGCTGCAATGGAGGCAGGATTAAAGAAAGCTATTGCTGTTCCCATGAATCTTGCTAGAGCTGTGAGCAAAGTGTGGGAAGCAACAAAGGAATTAGCTGTTGTTGCAAATATTGGTACAAAATCTGATCTTCAGGTTTGTCTTAAAGTAATAATATAATTAATGTAGTTTGTATGTATTTCTAATCTTCAAAGGTTGATTGCTTGAAAAGTCTTTCAAGCAATTAACTTCTCTAAATAGTTTAAATTCTGAAATAGTCTTAATAGTCTGAAGTAATTTTTAAAATTTTGTGATATTTTTATGTTAATCTAATCCTATTAATGCTGATCAATTAATTACCGTGAATACATTATGAATTTCTTTCAATTTATAATGGGCATAAATTTAAAAATCTATTAATATTGATATAATGTCAGTACTTCTTATGTAGGAATTTAAGCAATAATCCACATAATCTTTTTATAATAATGTTTGTAGTATATGATGATGACCTTTATTCATTAAATAGAAAAGGTGGTGTTATTCTTGAGAACAGATTTATTTTATATATTTCAACCTTCTAAAACAGTGAATGAATGAATGAATATTTGAGGTTACGTTCATTTGATAATTGTTGTTCTAAGAAAATCTTATGAAACTTCTGGTATTTTCAAAGTTATTAGTAAAAATATAAAAAGTGGAAATCTCAAATGAATATATTATACTCATAAGCATTTTTTATAATTGAGAGATTTTATTTAAAAATACTCCAGCCAAGTTATGAATCGTTTACTTGTAAACAATTAAAAAAAATTCAAGATATTTCTTATTTCTTCAGAAGGATTTTCTCACAATGATTAAATTGAATGAGGTCATCTTTGCTGGTTTCAGACTGAACATGTCATCTTTAACTAATATTTTATGAATATGAGATGACATAACATTGGATTAATTATCCAATATTTCATCCTTGCTCTTGCTTCCTTGTGTTCATAAAATATTGAATAAAGAGCTTTTTAGGTAAATATTTGAGAATTTAAAGTTTGTTAAATTATAATTTTTTTATTTCATTTAAATCATTTATAAAGATCAGGTTTTTCTCGATTTTATAAATGTTCTTTTTTTCTTCTATTAAAATGTATTCTGCTGTGTAAATTAAAATTATTTTAAAGTATTGGTAATTTTGATATTCCTGTAAATTAGTGGAATTGTAGAAATATCAAAGTTGTTTAATAATGAAAAAAAAACATTTTTGTCAAATTGGCTATTTTTATATTTTTATGATAAAAAATTTTATAATTTATACAGGTTGGTGTGAAATGCTTAGAAACAGGTGTGCTTGGTGCTTATTGGAATGTAACCATCAATACAGAAGGAATCAAAGATGAAAAATATAAAAATGAGGTAAAAGTATCTATTTATATTAATTTAAGTATCCAAAAAGATGTCAAATCTTGTTAATATCATTTATTTCTATGTAATTTAATATACAGTAGAGCCTCGATTATCCGACCCCCTATCAACCGACCCCTTGGTTAACCGACCGTCCTAGTCGGCAAATTTCAAATGTCCACTATTGATGTGGCACTACAATATTTAGCTATATCTTGGCTACTTTAATATTATTTTTATGTGTTTTAGCTGGATCGACCATGAAAGGGAGCCAGTATTTAAACAAGGCTTAACTTTCTAATTTTTAACGATACAATAGCGATGATTATTATTTTAAAAAATTTTTGTTAAACTTAACATCGATGAAAATTCAACGCAAAGTAGGTTAATAGTGATATACTAATATACTAATTACATGGGATATAATAATATACTACACAAATAATAGATTTTTTCATATTTTTCGGTTATCCGCCTTTTCAATTATCCGACCAACCCCAGTCCCCAATTATGTCGGATAATTGAGGCTCTACTGTATTATATGTTTAATGATTTAAATGCAAAATGCCAATAACCAGAGATTGTTTAGAACAGCAGTCATTAACCTTTCTAGCCTCACAGACCTTTAAACTCACAATTTTAAATCCCTCAGACCACTATCATAAATTTTTTTTTTTAAACTATACAAACATCTTTATAATAATGATCATAAACGTTCCATTTTACTTTATTAATATGAAATTCAATTGTTTAACTGTAAGAAGGTAGTGTGAAGTTTGTTGCTACTTTTTCAAGTAAGTTTATGGATTCTTTGCTCTCTTCCATGAAGGAAGGCAATTGCAATCATATTATTTATTGATTTATTGATATTATTTATTCATAACAGTCATTTCATGTTTGGTTTAAGATTCAAATAAAAACCCCCAATGAATGAGAAAAAGCAACCAAGCATTATGCATTTCTTTCATAATATTTTGCATAACCTTGAATTGCTCAATGTTCAAATTTCTCCACAGACTGCCAAAATTTTCTCACAGACCATCAGTGGTCCACACCACCAGTTGGCAATTGCTGGTTTCAAATCAATCAAAAATTAATTACCAACAACTTATTTGTTCTACCAAATAAAAAAAAAAAAATGACATAATATACTCTCACTTATTCAAATTAATTATTTAAGGGATTGTTTGGATGAGTGAAGTTATAGTTAAAGAAAAGGAAAGAAAAATATTACATATATAATGTTTTTTTTTTTTTACAATTTATTTGGTATATATACTTGTTACGGTGTTAATATACAGTAGTACTCTGTTAATCCATTATACCGGTAATCCATCACTCCTGTCAATAGTAGCAGCTACTGGTAACAGCTACCTGTACACCCATCCCTATATCATTACTGATTACCAATTGTTGAACCATTGTCCGTTAATATAATAACGTTTGTTTTGTCCATTAATTGTTTGTTTTATCTGACGTTCTTTATTTTTTGTAAGTTCCAAAAAATGCCATTCCTAACAGTTACCATGTAGGTAAAACCACTGAACACTGGTAGTAGGTTTGAGCCTAAACAAAAGGCATTGTTCTTCATCTGAATACCTGAACTGGTCAATTACCCATAGAACAACCTCCTGGGAGATGGTCCATATGTTGTTTGCCGTGTTTCATCAAACAAAACCCGAAAAAAGTCATAACGCAATTTGTGATGGCAGCTGTTCTATGACCCAAAACAGAGTGAACTTCATTCTCTGAATGATCTTTATTTTTTAGTTTACAAACTTATAGATCCAATATACCACTGCAATATACTGTATATTTATGTATAGGAGCCTACTATAATTTTTTTTTTTACCTTGGCTGTGAGTAAAATTGCCATTTTAATTAATGATGTTATATAAAGGAGTTACTTTTCGATTAGGTTTTCAATATCTTTGTTTAATTTTTTAATGAAAATGTTTTTATTTCAGAATCTATAACTGCTTTTCTTTTTTCCTAATGGAAACAGGTATTACAAGAAATAGAGCAACATCGCTATCTGGCGGAGAAGAACTGCAACGAAGTTCTGAAGTTACTACAAGAAAGAAAGGCTTAATACCTGAAATAAATTTAAAGTGTAAAATTAGGATTAAATTCCGACGCAAAATCGCGGCTTATTCGATGTAAATTTGTGTCCAAATGGCACGATGTGGATCTAATTTTCTGTTGGAAAAATTAAAGTTCAGATATTATAAAATACATTTGTTAGACTAAAGATGAATTTAATTTACCTAGGGAGATGGATTGAATGAAGATAAAAGTATCTGTTATGCCATTTTCCCATTAATAATAATTGATGTAACTTTATTAAACCACTTCTTGCCCAAATATATCTATTTTATATATATTACACTATCATATTGTATTTAAATTTAAGGGCTTATTACACATATGAGACACTATTATACTAACTTATAATAGTACATACAATTTAGATCATTTTTATGTTATGGATATGTTAATAAATAAAAATGGTCAAATTGTATGTGCTATTGTGTAACTTAGTATAATAGTTGTCTCTTGTGTGATAAGCCCGTAAATTTAAATATAGTATAATATTATAATATATATATAATTGCGAAGTATTTGCATTATTATTTCTGAAATTGATGATGATAAAGTTCATTAACAAAATATCAGAGTTAATACGAAGTAAATATACACTGGCAAAAATCAAGTCATAATATGTTTAAGACCATTTAAAGAAAATAATAATCAGAAATATTTGTTGTATATTTCGTTGGTAAGAATAGTTTCACAACCGACAGTTTCACAAAACTATTTGAATCTTACGTAAGAACAACTACCCTTGGCTATCTTGGAGTGACTAACGTGAATACAATGGGGAACATTATAATCTAGATCAGTGATTCTCAAAGTTGGCGCTACCGCTACTTAAGGACGATAGAAAACTCAAGGAGCAGTAGAACGTAGGAAAATAAGAGGGACAAAAATTATTTTGAAACAAATAGATGCATTAAAAGGGAGCGATAATTCTAAAAGTCTTAAGAAACGCTGATCTAGATTGGTCTGCAGGTGAGTTAAGTTTTCTTGCAGAAAACATTCTCCTGGGTAACTTTCTTATCTGAGGGAGGTGACAACTGCAATTAGTCAGTTAATATATGTATATATATCAATATATATGTGTGTGCATCAGTGGCGTACCGTCATTGGAAGCGGTGTATGCGCCTTTTCTAAACAATAAATACATATTAATTTTAATTATATGAAAATAATCGCACAACATTTTATTATAACCACATTATGTATCTTATTACAAATTTCTATACTACACGTGAAAAAAAAGATAAGATTGCTATTGTATATTCGAATATTAGTGGCGGAGTGGAAGCGCTTTATCGTCAGCATCAAAAAAGCAAAATTCGCGCATGCGCTTTATAGAGCACCAACCTCACCCGGTTTAGCTGATGGAAGCCTAGGACCTCGGGGTGGATGCTACACGTACTGTACACCACATTCAATTCTATCCACGACCGGTTCTGGGCCGTTAGCCGCCTGTCCGCTAGATATTTGGCCGCCCTCGCCCAATTACGTGAATCACGAGTAGATTTATAACTTAACCCAACCAATAAGAATTTACCTATATGTTTTTATGATAGTTTTCTGTACAGTGACAAGAATTTTCAATAAGAATTTACCTATATGTTTTTATGATAGTTTTCTGTACAGTGACAAGAGTTTTAAAAAAATCCATTAAAATATTTGATATTTTTATTCCTCTCTCCGATTTTATATTACTCACGGATTTCAATGTTAAACCAGTGATATTACGATTTCATATATCCCATCTGCCAATGACGCCTGAATAGGGGCCAGCTTTTCCTCTAAGTCCTCCCGGAAGGCATTCTGTCTCCCTTTCTCGCGGGGGTCGTCTCTTATAAGACCGGCTTTGGTTACTTCGTAACCCCTCTCCTGTCTTCCTCGGATTGGTCGTCTTCTATAAGACCGACTCTTCCTCACTGTTTCTTCAGGAGTGAAAAGCGAATAGCAATAACACTCCTCTATCTGGATTGGAATTGGAATATATCCCATCTTTAAGGGAATGCAGAAAAAAACGTGTACAATTCTTGTATAATGTTAAAAAATTAACCGTTACTTCGACAGCGTCATTTACAACTAAATTTAATGAATGAGAGAGATGCACCAGGTACAGAAAAAGCTCTAGAATTTATTTTCCTTAAATTTACGATTTATGTATCCGTTTGTCATAAAAATTTGTCTTTCCACTTTTTCCCGAGACTACAAATATTCGAGTACAAAGTAACTGGTTTCGACTTATTTCTACTTAAGAAGTAGTTAAATAATTAAGCGATTAGGGAATTGGGGACATAAACAAAACCCTGACGAAAGAGCCGGAATATTACTTAAACAAAAGCTTAACCGAACCAATCTATAGCCGAGTACAGTGGGGACTGATTTCTTCGAAATACTGTATTAGATGTAATAAAGACAGAAATTTTTCCAGTTCGACGAGAGTGACCGAAAAGTTGTAAATTTTGGAAATTTCCGTGGACAACCCCTGGTCCTAAAACGAATTAGTTAGAAAACAAACGACGGACAATCTATTAAGTTTAACATATTTAGACTTTTACAGCTATGGTGAGAAACGTTTAAAATTTACAAGAACCCTGTCGCGTCTTTTGAGGTATATTAGTGATGCGACAAAAGAAACATTTGACATTGCCAAATCCCGAGGGTATCGGCACCCTCGGGATTTGGCAGCCCGCGTGCATGTACAGTACACACCGCACACCTAGCAGGACCGTCTCTGATTCCACTCGTAGGGAGCTATTTGACTAAGTGGTTAAGATTTAAAGAGTAAAGAATATTTTATGTTATTTTCATGTACGTTTCATTACAAAGTTATATTTAATTATAATTTTCTTTAAAAGTATATTCATACAATTGAAGAATGTTTTGTACCAAATATGTATATCCACACATTTTATTTCACCAAGTAAGTTTTTATAATTTTATTTTTAATTTTAGCCCTTATATCGTGGCTAGCGATTCGGAATGTAATTGCGATATTGAAAATTTATTTTATAAAAGTTTTGGCTCAAGATAATATAATGAAAAAGAAAACATCATTAAAAGAGAAAGGCCAATGCCTAAGTTAAATATAAACGCTTCAATGAAAAAATTTGTTCGACATTTTCACGATAAAATGGCTGTGTAAATGCATAAAAATGCAAAAATTGTTTTGTTGGTTTGTCTACTATTTTCAAATGAAATTAGTGTGTGGAATAAGAATGTCTTTGACAATTTAGCTGGCAAAAGACACGAAAAATCGTCGATTCTTTCGTATTTGAAGCAATTTGGAAATCAAAGCGGAATAGAATTTAACAGTAAATAATATAAAATAAATATTAAAAATTATAACGAGATAGTTACGGATAATAGATATATTTAATAGATTTATTAATAGATGTTATATCAAAGCAAGAATCGGCATTTAGAGGGCATAGGGAATTTATTACAATGAAATAAACTTATTACAATGAGAAACATTTCTTAGAATAACTAAGAAATTTTGGTACAGTTCATACATCCAATTGCATCTTAAGGGGAAAGCCAGAACAGACTTCTTGGATCTTCAGATAACTGTACCCTTTTTTCCTTCTTACTTGAACTTTCCCTCATCTTCCTTCGCTTCCTCTTTAACCTCCTCATTCTCTTCTTTCTCCACTTTGCTCTCATTATAAGTTTTTCAAATTACTTAAAACTTGTCTACCACTTATTTAAATTAATTTGTATGCCTTAACTATCTAAAATCAAAAGGATGATCTTGGATTAAAAATCGCCACGCAGGAACACAACGACGTGCGATACACAAACTATTGAATCTAATAACAGAGGTAATTATATTGAACTTTATTGATAACTATTTATTAATTACATCAGATAAATAATCTATTAAAAATATATTTAAAGAATTAACTGATCGTCCCTGGAAGTCGGCTTTTTACAGAAACGCAGCTTCCTTATCATCAAATATCACGGCACGCCACTGATGTGCATACGTACAGTACAGTACATACAGTATATATAAACAATAATTCTTTCTGTGTTTTTTATAAAATTGTTTTATATGATTGGTATTGTTAATCTCCGAGGAGGATAATAGACCCCGAAATAAATCCTTGGTTAATCCTCCCTCTGCAGCCACGTCATTTTCCAAAATCGGCGCGTAATGCGGACCTCGTTTCTTTAACTGGTTCGTACCGTTTAAAGAAACGAGGCGGTTAATGAACTGGGTCTGGCGTGCATTAGTCTACCTGCTTTTATCGTCTGGAAGATGAATCTCAATTCGATCATTTAAATCTCTCGAAAAGATTTATTTTGCTTTTACAGGCGTCGGTAACAACCCCGTGTACCTTTCGATAATTGAGTCAGGATTTTTCACTTAAGGGTTTTTCTGAGATAAATAACTACAAACATTTACTCATCGGTAATCTAATTCATTAATTTTCTAAAACATTTTAAAATTTGTAGAAAGTTCGTAAAAAAAGTTAATGTATTCTATTTTCAAAATTCTGAAACGTGTGTTAATAGAAGAATTAAAATGGATTCAAAAGACTTTGGCTCGTACCTGCTCCGTTTTCAAGAATTTTTGGAAAAGGATTTTTCCCATAGAAAAAGCATTACATTTTTTGACGTCGTCTATTGCAGATCGCGTGCATAACTAGAGGTTACAGTCAGTCTTAGGGTACAAACACGCTTTTCTTGTCCAGCAACTTCGATACTGCCTTTTGTGATATTTAACTTTCGTAAATTTGCATCATCGCCTAATACTCGTAGATTATCTAATGCCAAACTTTAAAGTTGACATGTACAATTTACAATAGTAATGCATGCGAAATTTAGGTTTTGGTTTAAACATTATCTTATAAAATGCGACCATTTTATAAAATAATGTCAACCAAATTTAGTGACTCAAGTATATCCCACTGTACACTGAGTCATTGATTCAGTGTACAGTGGGGAGCCGTTTTGCCAGCCCACTAATTGCCTAGTTTTGTGGGTTCGAGCTTCACCCAGAGTTGGCCACGCGCCTTTTTTGGGTTTTCTTCACACTTCTACAAATAAATAGGAGCCAGTTTCTCATAGAAAGTCCCCGCGGTATGCATTCTCCCTTGGCAGATCGTTGCTTTACCCCAATAATTCTACAATCATGCATAAGGCGGAGTTACATCATAGATTTATAGTAATAGAGGAATAAACGGCCGTCCTTAGAATTTTGTTATTTAACTTATTCTGAAGTCGCGATCGGTGATGGCACTGATGGACACAGGAGGAGGGGAACTCCAATATAGGAGAGTAAAGCGT